CATGTGACACTAAAAATACATTGTCAATCATTGTAGACCTATCTTTAAAAACGAGAAATAGAAGTCTTATTGATTAAACTCCAATTAGTGATACTTGCATATTGTTATTAGTCCCTGATATGGCAACATCTACAAACCAAGAGTTAGTAGATGGCATTGAATATATAACTATATAAGAATCAAGACAACTTAAGTGACAAAATACTTGTATAAACAAACAATTAAATAGATATTAGAAGAAATGAGATTTAGAATATTGGACAATACTAGTTGAAGCACCGACTATAGAATTAGAAATACTATCATTCAACTAATGAAATAAACATCCTATTTAGAGAGAAACTATGGCAAAAGAATTAGATACAATTAAAATGGATAGAATATAATATCTTGTTGACTTATCAAATGGACAAGAGATGATATCTACCAAGTAGGTATATATTATCAAACATAAGTCAAATGGATCTATTTTGCAAAAGAAGGCATGTCTTGTAGCTAAGAGCTTTGAACAAACTCAAGAAGTGAAGTAAATTAAAATATTTGCTTTTATTTTATATTTAAAAATAATTCATAAGCTAGTGGCAATAGCTGCACACAATAGTTGGATACTTTGCCATATTCATATTAATACTACTTTTCTACATAATGATTTACAAAAAATATATATATTTCAGAATCATGAGAAAAAAATTATAAAAAGACATAAAAATAAGGTTTAAGTTACTCTATGGATTAAAGCAAGGTCTCTGAGATTGGTATCAAAAGATTGAAAAATATCTTTTAAAACAAGGATTTATTAGATAAATGGCAGATAATAACTTATACTTACTTATAAATAAAGATAAGATCTTGATCTTAATCCTATATATAGATAATTTTATATGCTTAAGCAACAATTAAACATAGATTAAGTAAATTAAAAAATAATTAAAAATAAAATATGAAATATTTGATATAAAAGATGGAGATTTAATATTATACTTATTAGTTGAATGTATATATATCAAAAAGATGATCATCTTTCTTAACCAAAAAAGATGCGTCACGGATATGCTTACTAAATTGAATATAAATAAAATTAAAGTTAATTCCTCATTGATGAAAAAATATCTAATTCTATATAAAGATATGACAAATGAAAAATCTATGGATCCTATTAAATATAGAGATATTGTTAGACAATTAAGACATATTACTCAAATCAAACTCAAAAACTCCTACTTGATTGGTATAGTCAACAGGTTCTTACAACATCTACAAAAACTTTACCTAAAAGCAATAAAGAACATAGTGAAATATCTTAAAGAGATCCAAGACTATAATATTTTATACAAAAAATAAAAAATCAATAGACTAACAATGTTTATTGACTCACATTACATATCTTCTTTCAATGAAAGAAAGTTAATTAGTGACTATATGATTAGAAAGGAAAATATTTATTATGTTACAAGAATAAATCAACAAGACTTGGAGTAAAATGACAAATAACTTAGACTTGGAGTATTTCTAACTTAATGTCTATTCTATTTTAATATTATTCTTTTTATTCTAGTAATCAACAACATCTATTATAATTAATTTTTTTTTAGACAAATGATTCATAGGACATGTAGTTCCAATATGCTTGAGTACTTGAGCACTAATTAATATCACAATAATGACAACTTACATACTAATTGGCTAAATGCTAATATAGAGACATTAGTTCAAGGATGGTTAAAGATCTTATCTTAGTTGATAAGTGATAAGACAAAATTAAATAAAGTATCAAGTTTAACTAACAAGTAATACATGCCCAATGCTAACACAATGTTGTATTTTATGAAGTAGGCTTGAAAATGCACCAAGCACCTAGCTATGGAAGATAAAATAAAATTTGCAATAAGAAAGTCTTAAAACTTTTAATAGAATCTTAAAAAAAATATAATTAAATCTTTAAAATATTAATCTAAAAGAAATTTTAAAAAAAATAACAAAATAAATATAAAGAAATCATAAATCAATCTTTAAAAATGAATATATAATAAAAAAAACTTATGTGAATCCTAATCAAATTTTTAATGTAATCCTAAATAAATCCTAATTAAATTCCAATCAAATTCTATATCCTAAATAAATCCTAAATAAATCTTAAACAAATCCTAACCAAATCCTAACCAAATCTTAATAAAATCCTAATCAAATCCAAACCAAATCCTGATAAAAACCTAAATCAATCTCAATCAAATCCATATGAAATTTTAACCAAATTCTAATGCTATCCTAAATTAATTCTAATAAAATTTTAAACAAATTCTAATTAAATCCTAATATGAGTCTAAATAAATCCTAACTAAATCCTAAATCCTCACTAAATCTTAATAGAATTTTAATAAAATCTTAATCAAATATTAATTAAATCAAAATTAAATCCTAAATAAACCTTAATCAAATCCTAAATAAATCCAAGAAAATTCAAGTAAATCCTAATCAATTCATGTAGCTATTTAAAATTTCAATAAATTCTAATCATACTGTTGAACTTAATTCAAATTTCATCTATATTTTATGCTATAAGCAATTAATAAGTATAAAATATTTTTTAAAAATCAAATACACCATTTAAAAGAAAAAAACTCTTAAACTTTTTGGATGTTTGTCCCTTTCCTTCTTCAATCTTGTTGAACCATTCAATTGCTTCAAAAATTGGTTAGTCTATAGATTTTTATGTCTAAATTAGTCTCATAAACTTTTACTTCAATCAAACTAGTAGATTTTTCAAGACTGTAAAAATCCTCAATGATCCTAAATTTCAAATATCTGAGATCCTAACTATTTAAAACTCTTATATTCTTCAATTTAACTATTAGATTGACATCAAACTTTTCAAAAACATTAAATATAAGCATAATAAAAAAATCCAAAAGTTTCACTTATAGATGTACTACAACACTTACATAATACTCAAAATTATAAACTTCTTTTTATTTCTCAAAATCCAAAACTATTAAGTACATCTCTCAATTTGAAAAGCTCTTAAAAACTCAATATATCTCTAAACTACATAAAATCAAGTCTTAAAAAATCTCTCACCAAGCTACTTTCAAATCTTACTCTTTAATTAATCAAAGAATCCTAAAATTATTATAGGTGCATAGTTTTGTGCTTCATAATTTGATTTTGATCTTGGTTTATGTTTTGTCCTCTTTAACTATCAATTCTTAATATTTTGTGATAAATTTTATTAAAACCTATTTTTAATTTCTTTCTAAAGATGATTATATAATTTTTTTTAATATATTTTATTTTATTTTATTTATGGCCTTATAAAGTAAGTAGAAGCCTCTCCTCTAAGAAGGAAACATTAGCATTTATTAATATTTATTACCTTCTAGTCTATTAACTATATTTTTAAAGTAATTTGCTAAAATATTCTTGTTTAAGCTCTTCTATAGTATAATCTTTTTTTTCTTCTTTAGCATAATAGTCATGTTACAACACAACAAAAAGTAAGACAAAAGAAACTAATTTTAGATACTTTGCAGGTATTCTATTAGAATCTTTGGAAAGTGATCTTTTTCTAAGTTATCTACACTAATCACTTATGTAATATAATCCACAACTATAACATCAACAACATGCAAATAAGCTCTATTAATTCTCTACAAGATGTAAACTTAGCCAAAATAAAGGTTTTGAGTCATAGACACAACATTATTCTTAGTACAAAAAACTAACTAAAGAATAACTTCAATAACTATATTGTCAAGAACAAGTAGAGCAAAAATATTAGGAATAGTCTTAAAGAGGATAAAAAAAAAAGAAAGCTCATCTTGTTCATTAAAGAAGCCCAACTCAAACAAAAAGTAAGTAGATGTCCTTATAATGTCCTTATTTTTGCTACTAATGACATTAAATATTGTATTTAGGTCACTATGTGTCCAGTTCGTACATAGTACTATTTGTATTCAGTAGAACATACATAGGGTACTGTAGTGTACGAAGAGTATTTAAACCTTTTAAGGGGCTAGTCTCAGTATCTCTTTTATGTGTTCCCCATTTGTCTCGAATACCTTCATTCTCAGCATAAGTGAATACCAAAAAGACAAGACAGACTGTACAGCTTTCGACGTCGCATAGCATTCACACACTTGGATACCGAGTTGAAGAGCATGCTCAAATTTGTGAGGAGTACGCAGCTTGGCAGACATCGGATTGCGAGAATGTGCTGGACTGGAATACTTAAAAGATTGGCTCAGTGTAGAACCAGATAACTTGATATCGAACGGATTGAATGTCGTATTTTATTCGAAGAGAGAACGAAGGGAGTATGAAATAGAAACGGAACAGAAATGATATAGAGAAGCGGTGTTGGAGAACCCGGTAATCGGTAAAGAAGCTGGCTCTGCTGATGGTGGCAAGAGGGCGGCCTCGACAGTTTTTGGTGGCTCCTCGACAAGGTTATATGTGGCAAAATGAGGCGCAATACACCGAAACGCCACATTTGAAGTGGCCGACGCATGACCCATCGGGCCATGCTGCTTGGGTGACTGGTTAGACAAGTTGGCTGGACATCGGGGAGTGCGGTGGGTCCGGTGGATCATGTTAGGGTTAACGACCTCCAGGATCAGAGATGGGACTGTGGACGAATCCAAGTTTGCTTTCCGTGATGTCGCGGCGACTGCTGATCGTCACGAGCATTGTCTTGCACACGCAGCTGGAAGGCGCTCTGGCATTGCGGTCAAATATTAGGGGCGTTACGCATAGTAAGGTTCTGATTACACAGTCATTTACAGGTGAAACAGTTACGGGGGTAAGAAAAAACATATAACTGCATTACATGCAATTATTACAGCTGACTTATAGATGATGTTTCATGCACGTCTCATGAATTGATACATATGAACAGCAATGATCGTGAGTATAGTCAAGATTTTGGTATCGTAACAGATTCACTTGTGCATATGCTTCGAGCCAGTCCACTTCAGGACATATGGTGTTTACTTCTTGCGCAGTGATTGTGCCAATTACTACCACACTGATAGTCTCCAACTTGATCAAATGCCAGAAACTGGATTAAGAAAGGTAGATCGTATTAAGAACTGTTCATGGTACCGGATTCCAAATATATCTTTACCTAGACTTTCAACATTTTCCCCCTCTCTGGAACTCTTCTAGCGTACGGCTGATCCTGACTAATAATTTTTGCCACTCAGGAATCTCGAACAACGAAGGTATTTGGGACCTTGACCACAATATCATACATGTGCATGGTTCTAATGTAAGCGAATGATTTAGGCAAGGAAATGAGATCGTTGGTACAATCGCTTTTATGGTACTGTCGCAGGTTGGGGTCACCAGCATAATATCGAGTCCACCCCTTCTCTCTCAGTTTCTGCTCAAGCTGATCGTAGTTTATAATTGACTCATTTGTTGCCACATGGACAAGCACTTTGCGCCGAACTCCAGTCATGTTCCTGCCATCCAGTGGTTCCGCAAGTGGATTTTCAACGAGTTGTGTAAATCCGTCCTTGAATATCCACACTCCCCCCATTTGATACAGTCGTATCTGGTATGCTGCAGTCTTTGATCCTTTCTGCACATGCAATTCACATCCGCGAAAACAAGTTGCCACTGGAAGCTTAAACAAACAACATTTCATACATGGCATCTCATAAATATTCTCTATAAGTTACGGATATCTGCATAGGTGGGGCTGCACTATTGGAAAGCGTCATGGAGATAACGTTGTAAAGAATAGTGACTCCAAACAACAGATCAAAAGTATCCGATTCGGAGCAAAACTCTAAGCTCACTTCAATTTAGAATTTAAGACACTGAAAGCAGGTAGAACTCAGAGAATGTCACAAACATCTTAAATCTGTCCAAGTAAGGTTCTGTTAGTTAACTCACTATCTCTGAAAACCCATCAACCACAAAAATCGTTTCTCAGGTGACTACAGTTAAAGCAGACTGATGGAATTGTGAATTCTTCCTCTTAATATTGTATCCAGAAAGCATTAGACTTCTGCATAGCATCTATATTGTAAAAGATCTCACTTTAAACCTTCAATGACGGCGTCGACAAAGAGAACGGATTCAAACTTGGCATGAGAGGGAAGTGAGATCCAAAAAACACCAGGACAATGACAATTCCCATGTAGTAACTTGCGACTTCTCAATCATCTAAAAGGAAGAATGTCGCTGGAAAAAATAAAAAATAAGAATAAAAAGGAAGCACAAAACATGCGAAAATTCATTCCGTTCGATCGAAAGGGCCGGCACAGCCCAATTGCGCACCCCAGATCGACCCCAAAGCGATCGCAACTTTCCTCACGAAGAGATCGAAAACTGGAGCAGGACTAGTCCAAATGGTGTTTGGTCCGGCGCAGAGAATGGGGCGATCGGCAGGAGGATGGATGAATGAATGAAAAAGGTCTTGCAAGGCCATGCTTGGATGAATAAAGTCCATAAGAGCTGTTGAGCTTTTTGCTGCCGTGGCACTACATGTCGCCTTAAGTGGCCCGCGCTTTACATGCAGGCCAATGGGGAGGGGCCATTGGCCCCAGTATCCGGTGCACCCCTCAGACCCCGATTCTTATCCTTAGCCCAGGCCAGGGCCCTCCCTCTTGATGCTTTCTGAATGAATTAATGAATGAAAATTTTGCATCCATCTCCCCTCATTGTTTCGGCCCTTCTGGCCTTCGTTCGCAATGGCCCCCACTCACTCTCCTTACGGGGTCCCCTTCCTTACGGAGTTGTATGGAAATTCGCTACCTCGTGGCCTCCAGGCCTCTCTTGTCACGAACTTTACGTGGGAGTTTTTTTGGGAGGTTTTAGGGTTCCCCTCTTAGGGCTTAGGGTCATTGTGCTTGCGTTCATAGGGTTGGGCCTTGAAAGAGTTTGGTCATGTAAGAGTTACAAGAAAATTAAGACAATTCTATATGTAAAAAATGATAGAATGTTTTTTGTAAATATTTGGTACCAATGAAATGGTTTTGTTTGAGTTTTACTTATTGAGAATATTCAATTGGATCTAAGAACACAATTAGATTTTTTATTTTATTTTCAATGAAGGAAAAATGTAGCAGTACACTTATTATAAGAATAGTTAATTGGATTAAGGAATTTTATATTTGTATAAGTGTATCCGTTATTATAGTAGAAAATATAATTATTGAAAATTCAATTGGTGAAAAAAGCAATCAAAATTATTTACTTTTAGGATTTATTAAACACTAATTTAAAAATACTATTGTGTTTAAATTCTAAATAGACCAAAGCATACTCATATGTATAATTAAAAATACTTCTAGAACTCATAAAAATATTTTTGGTTTATTAGTGTAAAGCAATAATGCTTAGAGTACATACAACATAGTGAATTTATAATATTTTTTAAATGTAAAAATTTATAAAATCTTAGATAACAGTTAATTAATAATCTCAATAATAAATTACAAGATCCTTATCTAAAATCTTCCAATATTACTAATTAAATATTTGCTAAATCTTTTGTATATTTATTTCATTAACCCAATACATTTAAATTGATATATTGTAGAGGCTAAAAAATTCAAAATCAAATAGAATAAAAACATTAATTAGTAACAAATAGTGCATTTCAAAAGCAAGGATCTACATAATATTGTTAATAGTTACAACTTGTAGTTTTAAAAGGATGCCTATTTTTTTTATTTGATTACAATTTAAATACAATCCAAAATGTATTTGATGTATCGTATCCAATTTCATGACTTTTGTAAGTGCATTGGTACATATAAATAATACTTCTATGAATGATTAAAAAACATTAAATTTAATTTATTATATAAAAATAATTATATTTATTCAATAAATAGAAATAAAAAGAAGTCGACAGAATTTTTTTAGAAATGTAATAACTTTATCAAAGAATAATAAGAAAGCTCCATAAATATATTATAGATTTATAGATGCTTTTAGGTATGCTATGTTGTTTTAAAATAAAATAAAAAATAGAAGTTTTTAATATTTGAGAAGTTATTATAAAAACAACCTTCAATTTAGATGCTTAGTCTACAAGTTCTGTGATCTTTATAAAGCTTCCACATAACTTTTTTATTAACATTTATGTAAAGAAGCCAAAAAAAAGCCATCATTGGTCTTATCAATGCCTTTTGTGTATTTTAGTAACTATTTAAGATTTTTTAGTTCATTGTACTGACCAATAGTCATTTGAATATCTTTCTATTTCATAAATATATTTTTGCAATTTTTTTTTCAAATTTGTACATGAGTATATTGTGTTTTTAGAAGTTTGTTAAGATTCATATCTTTAACAACAAAATAAGAATAAAATATATAATATCTAAATATAGAATATACTACTAACTTTTTACATAAAAACAACAAAGTATTTTTAATAGTGCAGATTATTATTCTCTGAATCAATATTTGTTTTGTGGTATTATATTATATGCTATTATATTTTTTTCTTGCTTCTGCTGAAATTCTTAAATTATTGAAATCATGGACAAATTAATATAATCAAAGAATATCTTAACTAAAATGAAAGTTTTAGAAATATTTTAATCTATAAATAGTAAATAAGATACAATTTGTGTATCAACCAATAAAATTTAGATTTTTACTATAAGATAAGTTCCATATTTATATGTTCATTACCTTTTTAACAACTAAAAATCAATGTAAAGTAGAATTACATTATGTTTAGCAATACTTTATTTGCATATTACAATATAATCTAAAGAACTGGTTCAACTTGCTTAGTCTTCAAACATATAGTCTAGTAATTGATTTTGATATCAAATGCAAAAATCAAGTTTTCAAGTTTTGCTTCTAAAGTTGTATGATAGCATCCCTATACTTCCATCCTTTTGTAAAAAATAATTAATTTTTCAAAATATAGAATCAAACTAAAATACAATAAAATATAAATGTATATATATATATATATATATATATATATATATAATTATATTTATATATATACATATTGATAAGAAGGATTAGATTTAAGTTGTAGAATATTAAAATTTATTGCTCAATATTGTCCAAAATAGAAGAAAAAATTCTAATAATGAAACTAATTCTATTCAAAAAAAATTAAAATTTATCCAATCACAATAGAGATTCTAGAATTAAATTTGTATATTTTGTTATTTTATGAAAGTTGTCTCTTGATCTTTAAATTATTTTCTTAACTTCTAATAAGTATATTTTATGATTATAAATTTTATAACTTATACTTTGATCTTATTAAATTTTAGAGTCTTTTCTTATTTATTAAAAAAACTCTATTGAATATTATATAAAATCTTTAATATAAAAATTTAACATAATATATATAAAAATCATGGATAGCTTACTATTATCCTTTCAAAATATCACTTATAAAAACTTTTCTTAAAAAATATAAATGTATGCTTATAATTGTTTATTATTTGTTAATATTATTTAATTTCTAAGTTATCTTATTGTTTTAGGTTTATAATGGTTAAAGTAGTAAAACCTTCAAAAAAACTAGACATTTTGTAGCCTTTGATTTTTTTTAAAGAGAATATTACAACAAAAGATTTAATCAAAGTCTAAAAAAATAAAACTTTTATTTATTAAAATAATGAAATTTAGATAATATCTATTCCTTATTCAAGTGGTGCTTATAGCATAATTATAAATTAATATAAAATATATTAAAATATATTTAAGAAAAATAATTTCAATGTTATACTTAAGCATTTTTTTTACAATTGTGCAATTGCTGTTTAAAAACAACCTCAACTACCATTTGGTCCAATATATAACTTGATACAAATTAAAATTAGTATCTATAATGAATAAATTAATAAAATACTACAAGAAACTTTATTAAATACTTAAAATTTTTAAATAGTATAAAAATGTGTAAAAAAGAAAAAATAAAACAAAATAAAACAAAATAAAACAAAAAAAAATCCCTGCAAATATTTGTAGACTATTGTAGACTCAAAAATTAGCCATAAAAAAATAAAAATAAAAATAATCTAATTTTTAATTTTTCATATTTTGAGGTATTGAACATACAAATAAAAATAAAATTCATACTAGAATAAAATCTTAAAGACAATATAGTTTAATATGTATTAAAGAAAGAAAAATATATAAAAAAAAATTATGATTTGAATTAGATATAGCTACTTCAAATGCAATATTATAACTATAGGACTTAAAAGAGTTTTAATAACTTTATTTTTTGTAATAAATGATTAATTTTGAAAAAAATTAGATAGTATTTATATCTTATATTTAGCCAAATTCTTATTTATTCTTAAACAAAAAAATAAAATAAAATATAAAATATAAAAAATATAAATATAAAAAAAATCTATGCCTTATATAATAGAAATTTACAAAAGCAAGATTACATGCTAAGATGGAAAAATAAGGTCAAAACTATTGTAGATTGAAAAACTTCAAAAATTGTATAAAATATTTAATAATTTTTGAGACTTGTAAATTATTCTTAAATATTTATTTAAATAAATCTTTAAAAAACTATTTTATTCATACAACTAGTTTTTAAAGATATATTAGAATAAGATGAAGATACAATTAATATTTTTAGATTTTAAAAATTTTACTATAATTATTTTTTATATTATTTAATATTCAAATATAGATTTTTATAGAAATATATAAATCAAAAAATTATTATCATAATAAATATAGATATTAAAAATATAATAATTATTATTTTTATAACATTTTTAGTAATCAAAGTTAATAATAAAATACACAATTTAGAATTCTTTGTTTTTTTAAATTTATTTTAAATTTTGAAAGACAATTATAATTTAGTATAAAATTATACACATTGAGAAAATCTCAAGTATTTTATATCAATATAAGTTTTAAATTCTTGCTAAATTAATTATTATACATATTTTTTAAAATTTTATTTAACATCACATATTGACTTTGAAAAAACAATGTTTATTAGATGTTTTGTCTAGATAATTCTATCTTGAACTAAAATAAATTTGCATATAATCAAAAATAATTCATCTTCTTGATAAATCAATAAAATTTTAATATTAAACCAATTACAACTTTGAAACATAAAATTAACAATTTTTGTTGATCCCAAATATCTTAAAGAAGTTTATTTAAGTATTTCAATAGATTCTTTTGTTTTCAAGTTTTAAAATGTCTTTGATGATAATTGAAGTAAATTTTATTCTATTGATTTTTTTTTACATAATAACTATTTTTCTAAAATATGAAGTGCAATTATATATCTTTCAATTATGATATGAATTCCTAAAAATAAGATATTCAAATAAAATATATTTATTAAGTTTATTATAAAAAATAAATAATAGCTTCAAATGTAAAAATTTGTCTAAGAATTTGTATAATCTTGTGATATTGCTTTTAAATAAATATTCTTTATCATCAACCATATGGCCTTTTTAAAAATTTCATATTCTGAAGTTAATCATTTTCATTTTTTGAAACAGATCTTGGTAAAAATCTAATAAATTTAAGTTTTTATAATTTTATTTTTATGATAATAAATTATCACCTAAAATAGTACATTTTTAACTATGTAAAAAAACTACCACAAATAAAAAAAAATATCTTATTTCTTATTGAATAATATCAATTAGTTTTATAGATTTTTAATTAGTATTTTATTTGATCAAGGATCTTATTTTGAATCAAAATTTTTAATATTCTTCACAAGATATCACAATAAGAACATATTTTCTTTAATGATTTTATCTTTAAACTAATGAACAAACCAAATAAATGAATCAAATATTAGGAATACATTTGTAATATACTATCATTTGCAAAATTTATAAATAAGAGGCATTTTTTTAAAAAAAATATAAATATGAAGCATTTTTAAAACAAATTATAATATCTCATGCATTGCTACGGATTTGATATTATTTCACCCTTTAAGAAGCCATCTAAAACTCTTAGAAATTTTGTCATAAATATTTTTTGTTTTTTGTTTTTTTTGTTTTTTTTTTTTTGTTTTTATAAGGATGAAGTTAATTTGATTTAGTTTCATTGACCAAAGCATAACCCAATCTGGTGTGGACATTGCTATTTTGAATCTATCTTCGATCTTAAAGTATTTATTTTTAAATTCTACACACCTAACAAGTACATGAATCTAATTAAGCTTGGGATTTTAAGGTATTTTTTGTTAAATTCTATAATATGTCAAGTACATAAACTTAATTAAATTTTCAAAAAAAACAACATATTTTTGTATTAGTGAAATAAGAAAAAAAGAAAAATACATACATATTTATAAAGTGAAAAAAATACCAATATGACTATTGCTAAGTACAAAAAACTAAAGAAGTAAAAATTGCAACTAAAACACAAAAAACATGCATATACATGTATGGGTCTTTGCTTGGACTACAAACTTGAATTTTGAATTTTTTTGGACTTGCGCCATCTCTTCATTTGAGTCCTTAGGTACAGGTTTCAATCATCATCATAGCCTAATCAATGGAGATTGATTATTAGTTGCCCGCTCCTCCAAGCTATTCAGTATGTTTTTCTTGTTTGAAGATGCCAATGCGTAGGGATCCACAAGCTCACAAGATTCTCATGACCACAAATAGGGAACCTAAAGTGGAGAGTTTCACCACAGAGCAGCGTACACACGCATGCTGTGTTGAATTGCCCAGTGGGTATTCGATTTGTTAGTAATGACGGTTCGAAGTTTAAATTATGTTCTGCATGCAAAACAGCAAGCAGATTAACAACTTTACAAGAGAAATGCAGAAGTAGCAGAGTAAAGCCATTAAAATTAGATTTCAATATCCGTTACAGCAATGAAAGCCAACTTGGAATCTCATTCCTTTCGCAGCTCCCAGGTTAGTCCAGCCACGCTGAAGACCACCGTATGATTACTCACGGACGCTTGGCTAAGAGGACTTTGTTTTCAGGCGAGACTGTATCAGCTATATATTCCACAAGTTTAGCTTGCATGCCTTTTTCTCTGAGCCATAAGAGCCTCCCTGTGTCAATCAGTCGTTTACATTTCCTACCTAGCAAATATCTTTGATAAGCATCCATGGCATTCATTGCTTCTGATAGCAATGCCTTCGCACGTACAGCTCCATTCACTGGCTCCCTGCGTTGTTCATTTACAGGAGATCTTTAACTACATCGAGTGCAAAATGAGAAAGCTGGAACAATCCATGTTTCTACTCTATGTACTTTTTATATCTTTAAAGTTCACTTCTTTTGAGGGTACTGGTAACCACAACACTTTCCTTTTACATGTACACCAGAAACTTAAAATAGTACAGGACAACAAGGCAGAAGCTTTTGCTGCTCTGTCAAAAGGCCAAGTATATGAATCTCAAGTCCCTCAAAAGCCTTCATAAAGAACTGTAAAAAGTGATGCAGCACCAAAGCAAATTGCGGACATACCTGTCTTCCATCTGGACGGGCAACTGTTCTATCGCTTCAGACGTGTAACAATCAGGCAATTCATGTTCGTGAGTGCCTGAAAGTGCCCAACTTGTCAACCATGTGATGGCATGGAAGTCGTCCTTCGAAAATTCCAACTCCTTAAAATACTTTTTATCTGACAGTTCAAGTTTGAGTGGATCAATAAGACGCCGATCAAACAGTGGAACACTAGACATGTGACATGAGTTCCAAATGAAGCTGAACAAATGGTTCCTGAAAACACGTTTTAACCCCAAATCATCTCAGGGACATAGACTACAAGCAAACCAAGACAATTTTATCGATGATCAGAGTAGTCTTCAGAAAAAGGAAAGAATACTGATTAAGACATAATAAACTTTATTTGAACCAACAGAAAAGGAACCGATCGACTGTATTGGCATGACATGAATAAAACCTCCAAATTTTAAGAGTCGAAGTGCTACAGTGCTTTAGTCCAGTTACAATAGCTCGCGTACCATAAGTGAAACACATAGTGCACATTTGTGTTTGTCTCTACGAAGTCCAACGCTTCATGTAAACAGATGCAAATGTGCAATAGCTCTCAACACAGGAATGCTGAAGTGGCACAAAAGAAATTCATGAGCAACTTACTGACATATGACTTCCACTGGCACAAATGATGGCAGCATGTGGCAATTGCAATCCCATCAACAACTGGCTTGACCTGAGACTGTGCATCCTTCTGGTTGGGAATTGTTTCTTTTGAATTCCTCAGCAGCGGTGTGTCTTCATCACTTAGACAGCACCGTAACGATAAATCTACGTTCACATCCAAAGTTGCACCGTCAGTGAGGAATTTTGATTGAAATTTGTAAGATTTTCAACACATCACAAGTGGAAACAGCAGAATGGGTCTCGACCACATGACACACATATAAAACACCTAACAGTTCTAAATCCAGGACAGTAAGTAGACTGGAAATGGCGTTCACCAGTAGCAGGTCCACATAAATGTTTACTAATCGCAACCACATGACAGTCTTGTAAAAGACTGACTTGATTTAAATTCAGATCCTCGACTGCAAAACAATCAGAATCCCGTTAATAAGCATTTGCTTCTAACTTACTACGCAGTCAGTTGCTGTAGTAGCTCTATAGTGTCGTCACGTTCGTATCAGTATATTAATAGCTTACAAGATTCAGGTAAACAAGCACAAAACCTCATGTGAAAAGATACAAAGGGATTCAGCAACCATCGCCCATACCTTCATTTACTTCCTAAACAAGAGGACTATCACAAATTTTCAAGCCAGCTACTCATACTCAACTCGCTACTTTGCTACAAGTGTTGTTACAGAAGTTAATAAAGCTATTCAAAAAGTAAAATATGGCCAGCACTTACTGTCCAATCTCAAGCGTTCCAAAATTAGTCCGTTAGAATGTCTTATAGTTCTATCCGCCTGCACACAAATAGATCAATAAGAACCGACCCATGGTTCCTTCCGCGAAAAGAAAATAACCAATGTAGTCAGAGCACCTCAAGCCAAGCATTTTCACAACATTACAGCAGACTATGCAGTACAAGTGGCAAATTTAAATGACCCGTGTATAATTACTTTAAATTTGTAGGCGCGGCGTTCAACCATAACCACTTTATGCACAGTATAGCAATCGCACAGCATCTGCGACAGATAGCCCCGTCCAGCACCAAGTTCAACAATGGCTCGTTGCATTGGAGAATGAGAAGCAGAAGTGGTCTCAGTAGGAGTGCTTCCTCTGCATGCTAAATCTCCCTCACAATTCAAGTTTTCTAGAAGCCCATAGGCTTCCATATTTCCAAGCAAAGAAGCTTGCTGCAAAGCGTGTTTCTCTTGATAAGGTATTCTTCTGCACACGGGCACAAGTTTAAGTTAGGTGAGATTTAGGAAGAATCCTCCTGTGCATTTCATAGCCTTGGCAGAATAATTTGGTTGTTACGAGCTAACTCTCCAATACTAGACCTGGTAATCCAATAAGGTACAGATAGTACATACCGGTCCCTGTCCCCATCTAGCCATCTCCTGCAGGCTTGGGGCTGCGTGACCGCCTCCTCAACATTCTCCCCACAAGCTTGAATGAAGGCTTTATCAATTTTAGCTACAAGATGCTCAAAATCTGCTCGTGACAAGGCACTAACTGCTGCACGTTTAGAGGCAGAGCTTAGAAAGTGGTTGGTGTTAGACAAGGCTCCATCTTCTGGCAACTTTTCTTCACTATTCAAAGACCTCAACTTCAGCGGGATACCATTCGACGATTTTTGTGGCTGCACAACGACGAAAGTACATTAATATCATCTTCAAAGATGACGCCCAGAAGGAAGATTTGCAGTAGTTAATGTGTCCACTAACCCCTATTTATTAGCTTCGTCTTAATAATTAATACGGTGCTGAAGCTTTAGAAGCCTAATAGTTACCTCGCCAGAATTAATCCGCTCAATAGAACCAACAGGAACACCATCAAGTGTGTCGTCAGCATCATCATCGCTCCCAGCATTTATGCCCTTGATGTAGTATGATTGATGCTCAAAACGATCGAGTTGCCTGGCGGCCGGACATTTCTTAACATGACTCGCAACATCTTCCTGCAAAACAGTGCTGCACTTTCACAAAATTATGACACTAGACTACGATACAGCAATTCCTCAATCTGCTGCTACCAACAAACTCCCTGCTTCTGAAAACTATACCTCCGCAACAAATTCTCTACTGAAAGATTCATAAGCTGTCCAATTCGACAAAATATCAACATTCACTTAGGAGTTGGGAGCGCACTGGGATGGATCAATAGGACATGGAACCCTAGACTGATTTGGTGACGTCTTGTGATTGCCGCAGAATCTGCAATAATGAATTACCACTATCAGCTCAAATTCAAAAAAAGAGTACTACTCAAAGACATCTGAAAACGTCTTTTTTAAAGAAATAATTGACTATCTTAAAATGATTGCGGAAGCCACTGCTATATATATGAAGATTTCTGAATCCCAAGCTAGGTAATTGAGGTATCAATTAAAATCCCAAGAAGTTCTCCATCAAAAACCCTAAACTATAATGAACACAGCCATACGTTAAAAGATGGGAATCAAGCGACGTACTCGAGCCCTGCCAACGCATGCGAAGCGCAGAAACGCCGCTTCTTCGGAAGCCATGACTGGCACTTCCCTGGCTCTTGACGCTTCTTAGACCCGTCCACCTTCACACATTCTTCGCCCACCCCATCCTTGCCATCTCCAGTTAAAATTTCACAATTGAGAGCATTAGAATCCATGGTTACTGAACCATTCTCTATTCCGAAGATCCTCGCAGACGAAAGCAATGACGACGACGACCACTGCGGCTGCACCAGCTGCATCGGCGGCGGCCACACAGGCAAATTCGAAGACGCGTTCGTAATCCTCTCCACACAACTGGTCCCCCCTGCTCGAGCATTCCTGTATTTCACCAGCTGCACACTCCCACTGCCTCTAATCAAGGCCCCAGAACGAAGCTGCAGAATGCGTTGCAGCCATGCCACACGCATCGGTCCCCATCAATACTGTATAACGACGTTTCTCTACAGCAACGGAGAACGACATACGAACGGCGAATGACATCTAGTCCAACGGAAAATGTACCAAGCAATAGCAAATTCTCACAAATACCTGGGTGCACCTACACCGGCAAAATACCCATTAAGGGAAGAGCACAGTGGATTGTCCCCATTTCTGAAGGGTAGCAACAGCTGCAAGCCGCCGGCGTCGTCTCCGAGGCTGGAATCGACGAGGATCGTCAAAGCCCGTGTGCCCTCTCAGCCTGGAGTGGCGGCGGCTGTGAAACTATAGCCTGTGGGTTAGCTACAACGAAAACCTGTAACAAACCAAACCCATACCCAGCACGAATTCATTATCCTAACCTAGGAAAGCTATGTAAGAAAATCACTCAGCCTACGTCGCCGAGATAATGCTTGCTGCCCACTGGCATGCTTCAGCGATGCGATTACATGTTGGGATTTTTTGAAATTCCTAGTTTGGAACTCCACCTCAGCAAAATGTACCCAACCGTCATGAACCGGCTGGCATGCGCTTGACATACGCCGCTGCGTCCATCTCTCATGTGCACGGGCCCAAAGACATCTCGGACCCTTTCCCGCTATTCTAATCGATTTACACATACCCAGGTACTCTGTTTTTTTCTGTAAACTCTCTTGGGGTTCACGCATTCGGATATTCCCACGGCGCTCATTCGTCGAGCCGCCTGTGAGAGAATGGGAGTGGGCATGTTGCGCTATGAGCGATGGTGTCTGTAGGTTCGGAAAGTTATGAAGCTTGCGTGTTTTGTGTTTGATGTGTAAACGTGAGAAATAAGTCTTTTATAGACGTCGATATTGGTGTGGAGTTCTCGTTATTGTCACGAAGTGTGCGTTCCTGGCACTGAGGATTGGGTTTTTCGAAGATTTAGACGTCAGGGTTTATGTACACATGGGTAACGTGTGGATCATTGTGGACTTGCTTGTGAGTGCCTGTGTCGATCGAAGACGCGTCGTGCACGGGTTTAATTATTTTCATAGAAATGGGTTGTGAACGGTGTGAGCATTGAGAATATAGTGGAGTTGCATGAAACCCTAGGTCGAAGAAATGCATTTTCTGCTCTGCAAAGGGTGTTTTGGAGGAACTCCATGGAAATTTCACAATCACGTGCAACGGTGTCATCAAAGCAGCCACGTTTCGGAATTTTGCATCGACTGAACCGGCCTCAGCTGCCTTGTGTTCTCGGGACCCTGCGCTACAGAGTTACTGTGAATCTTCTGCTCTCTCTACTTTTGCCAACCATCTTCAATTTTTTGAGGAAACCTGTTGCCATTACTGACTTTTTGGGACGTCCTGATTTTCATATCAATATCTGTGCCTATGAAAGCTCTTTAATAAGCCTAGTTTAAAATGACACGAAATGAGCCTGCAAGTGCTTCGGAAATATGAAACACGCTTCATGCATTTTTGTTGTATGAGTAGTGCATTCTCGTGACTTGTATTTAGTGTTCCCCGTGGAAACGCCCTAGTAAACAGGCACACAGTTCTCAGTTGCTATTCGCCATTCCTATCGTTATGATCGTAGTCTAGCATTTGAATGAATGTTGCCCATTTGAAGTCGTATTGTTTGCGTACACTAGCTGAATGTAAACCATTGTTTTTGTGTTTGAAATTGGGAGGACTGGAGCTGGTCTGGAAAGTCCATTTTTCTCTTCACCCCCGTTTCCTGCCTGTCACTCCTCTACTCTTTTGTCATTGAATTCCTGATTTTTGCCGAACCGTTCTGCTGTTCTTCGGAATTTGTTATTTTTAACGGGTTTATCTGTCATGATTCAGGGCATACTTGGAAGCACAACCCCTTCGTATTAGTGGAGTTTCAATGGTAAAGAAAGAAAGTGTCCTACCTTCAATATCGGTTGGTACGAGCATGGACGATATAATGAGAGACGTCCATGGAGCTATCGAGCGGGCGGTAGAAGCACGTTCGGAGTATTTGAAGCAGGAAGTCACGTGAGCGCTATTTCAAAGTTCCCACATTCTATTTCATGCAATTGCACCTTGGTTCACAAGATTTTGATGATCACTGACGGCCTATGCCTTGATATGCAGTGTTTGCCGTATAGTCAAGGAGTCGCCATGTTTGTGCGTAATGAAGCTTAAGTGCTTGATTGCAACTGTGTAGTGTACACAGAGTTTAAATTTTTGTGTGCTATAATTGCAGCACGATGACTCTGGCACAAGCACGCCGGCTACTGGAGAAGGATCTAAATGTTGATCAAGGATTTTTAGATTCTTACAAGGAATTTGTTAAAAAACTTATCAACAAGGTAATCTTCCGCGCTTATGTATCATTTGGGACGCCATTATATGTTCGTGCTTGGAGCAGCTCATTAATCTGAACTCTGTTATTATGTGCACGTGTCGCTCTTTATTCGTGACTTATTTGTAAGGTTCTTTTGCACTTGAAACTTATAGCAATCTCCGATGAGTATCAAATTACTTAAAAATCGGTATGTCATTGATATTTCCCAAATGCTGTCCTCCAGGTTTTGCAAGAAACCCAGGCCGAAAGCCTAGCAGTGCAGAAAACGGAAGCGGTGATTGATGAGCAAGACAAAAGCAAGGAGACTGAAGTTGAGAATTCCGCCAACCAAATGCCAAAAATGAAGCGGCTCAAGAAAAAGAGTGGAAGCGAAGGCATAGTGGGTGAAATCGCGAAAGATCAATCTGATGATATCGGAACGTCTAGTGCGGAAGAAGGGTTAAAGGAACCTGAAAATGACAGCCATTCGGATGCTAAAGTTGGAGCGGACATGGAAAGTTTGATTTTGGAAGCAGCCCTCAAAAGGGCTCCGGATTTCAAAGCTCAAGCAGAGTAAGAGCAGCTTGTTATTTCTCGTGCTGTTTTTTTGTTCAACGCATTCACTTAAGCATTCAGAACTTTGGCTGTGTCGTGATTTTTAAAATAAATCATAGCACTTAAGTTTTGGTTATTTTTCAGATAAGTATTAGTGCGAAGTACACTGCATTATTCTTTCCAGTACCGATGATATTAAAAGACACTGTTGCTGTTATTTTTTATCAGATCCTTGACGCTTGTGGGTGTACGCCGTTTACTGGAAAAAGACCTTGGCATGGAGAAAGGAGGCTTGGATGTGTACAAAAAGCATATACGGACAGTCTTGGATCAAGTATGTTGTGTTTGAGCACCTGTTGATAACGGATTCGCAGTTCTTGATTACATCCTGAAATTTATTTATTGAGATTCAAAGTGATGATTGTTCTTTCGGTACCAGGTAGTAACAAGGCTATGAGCTACTTATGATCTACAGTAGTTACTCTGAATCCTTACAAGTAGTGAAAGGTAGAAGACAAATTGGATGGAATAGACTTGGTTATAAGTTTCCACGGTGGCTGTCAAAGCCGTCTTTAGTTAGGCATATCCGCACCTCCTCACGTGTCGTACACTAATGTCTGAGCACCATTATTTGCGGTTACCTGCAGCTTTTAAATGAAGAGAAAGAAAAGGAGAAGCTAGTTGCTGTTACTACTTCGAAGAAGAGAAAAGCATCTGCACCTGAGGTTAAGAAGAAATTGAATAAGTCAGGTAAGAAGCGAAAACCTTCCTCTTCGGAGGAGATGGAGGAGAATGTCAGTGGTGAAGAATCTGTGAAAACTCCCAAGGTGCGGAATGGAGGAAATCGGAAGACGACGAAGAAATCAGTGAAAGAGAAAGTTGAAGAGGAAGATGCTAGTGGAGATGACGATGGTATGGACGAGGATGGAGGGTCTGATGAAGATGTGTCTAGATCCGAAGAATCAGATGATGAAGAGACTGAGCGTAAGAAAGTACCAAAGGTAATGCATAATTTTATGTAGTTGGACTCTTGCTTGATACATTTTAAATTGCAGCAGTGTAATTTGAATACTATAATTCATCAAAAAATGAATGTAGAAGCGATTGGATTTTGGATTGGCAGACAAAGAAGCCTGTGGAATCGAAGCCTGTATATGGCAAGAAAGTTGAACTCTTCAAAAGCACTATTAAAGCTTGTGGTATAACGTAAGTTTCTTCTTCAATCTTTTCAGTTACCTCGCTGTTACTTCTGCTTTCATTCTGTGTTGCGTGTTAACGTGTCTGCCCTTGTTGGCTTGGGGATCAGCTGAGGCACGCAGGTTTTAAAGTATTATGCATACTAATTATAATAGTCAAGCATGCAAATACTTGGTTTACTGAGATCCAGAATATGTCAATTCTACAGTTGGTGTGTTACTTTTTCATTTACTTTGTGCTATACGTATCCAATCCTATTTAGATGTTCATGTTTGCTTTCTCTTCTTCTCTTTTCTTACTTAAAGAGACCTTTTCCAGGGTGCCTCCAAGTGTGTATAGGAAAGCTAAACAAGCTCCAGAAGAGCGACGGGAGGCTGTTTTGATTAAAGAAATGGAAGCAATCTTACTGAAAGAAGGTCTTACGGCTAATGCGTCGAAAGACGGTATGTGAAAGTAGAACAGTATCCGATGGATCTAAGGGTATTTATGGTGTTTCTGAAGTTTGTCATTTAGTTTCATTAGGTTGATCGGTGCTGCACTTCATTACTCTGTAACGAACATTTTTTCTCTGTGCATGGCAGATATTAAGGCTGTCAAAAAACGGAAAGAGAAGCTAAAAGATCTTGAAGGGATGGACACCAGTAACATAATTGTAGAATCTACGGGGCGGCCAAGGCGAGCAGCAGCATCTGCAAATAATTTTTTCGCTCCCAAACCCAGCAAACCAATTGACCTTGGTGAGGAGGATGAAGATGAAGATGACGATGAGGAACAAGAATCAGACTCTGAGGAAGGTATATCTTATGCTGCAGAATACTCCTGTCCCAAAACTGTCTTTCCCTTGCACCAAAGAGGTCAGACTATGCGTTCAGCACGTACAAAATGCACAGCCAAATCTTGTGGTTCATATAAGTTGCTCGTACAGAGTCTAGCGTTTATAGTACTTCGTGTTGGGATGGCTATTTGCTGACACGGTTTTACGTTGATGTCGCAGATCCAAATGTGGAACTGCAAGATGACGATGACGATGACGATGACGAATATGTGAAATCATAATGATATGCTTAGCCATCCTTACTTTTGGAGCTCCTAATTCTGTCCAAGGGTTCTGCTCAAGCACCATGTTACTCTTCAAACTTACTGTGACTATGTGTATGTAATTTTTTAGAGGATTATCGGATATTCGAGTTCAAGAAGTCGGCATGTTGGAACACCTTTGAGTTGGAAGGCACAAAAAGGACTAATACTCCAATCAGATTCAACTTGGAACCCAACCTAAAATGTTAAGTGTGTCTGGAAATAGTTTTTAAAGTCAGCACATTTTTCTTGAGCAGGCGTGGTTATGAATCACTATTTGCAAGTACTGGTCTTCTGTCATTATGTGCACTTCAGCATGATATCAAGTTTCCAGGACAGGAGTGTAATCCACATGGGACTTCAGAGTTAGCTTATAAAGAGTAGTCATTTAGTGACATAGTTTACGGTGAGGACATACTTAAAATACTAGACGGTGCATGTGGGTTAAGGATTTCCAGCATTCTTCTGAACCAATCAAGCAGCTGCAGCACTTCAGAGCAAGACACTCCAAATACTTTGTCCGATCCTACTTCAACAATTTTAGAAACTTTGTAGGTGGATGGATGCACATGTCTTGACGTGATGATCACAGTTCAGGATGTGGAGTTGGAAAGAATTGCTATCCTTTGGATACATAGGTAAGGTTATCGTTCTAGGACTTGTATTCTGTCTGTCTGTTTCCAAGTATGGAAAAAAATTGGATATCTTTGCACGGCTTTACCCTGTCATTTAGTTTAGTTTGAAGTGAATCAGGTGAGTTGGGTTTTTAAAGGGCTACCGAAGCTTAATTTCCTACAGGATTCATTTGGCATTCTTGTAGGAGTCGGGGCAAGCGTGGTTCCATTGTGACACTCTTCTGAATTTACTTCAAAAGGTGACGAAATCCATGGAAGGGGCTCATTATGGAAATTTTTATGGAGTCCTTTTTTCATTTAAAGAGAGATTTAACTTTGACACTGAAAACAACAATAGTGAAGCTTCTTATCTCATTCAAAAGTTGGAAATAGATACTTGATCTTTGTATGACTGTTCTTTGTTGAGGTACATAGATGTGAATTGACGTGAAGTGAATAAATATGTAATGAGAGACTGGATATTATTTCTTCTTCTTTTTAGCTGGTTTTTTTGCTTTATTAGATTTCTTTTTCTTCTTTTCCATTCTAGCAGCTTTTTCATTTGCAATTCTCTCATTTTCCTAAAAAGATTTTGAATTTAATTGTTATATCCATGCAAATGAGTTAATAAAATATTGAAACTAATTTCAAAGGATGATTTCTTGAATATGATGAAGATGCATGCACATCAATAACTGATTCTCCAGTTATTTAATAAATTTTATCATGGGAAATTGAATCCAGGATATTATTAGGGTTTACAATGCAATTATATTAAGATTGATTCTACATTGTTGTTGGAACACAAATAATTTTCAATGGTTTAGGTACTTATACAACATTAGAGCACATATTTATTGCAAAGTAAATGCATAAAATTATGTACATATATAAGTAGTATTTGCTTTTACAATGACTTTTTGTTGCATTAATCTTGCAACTTCCATTGCAGCTTCTTCTTCATCAATGCATTTCTGTGCATTAAAATTTATTGTGTGGTTAGTAATATCCTCATAAATTAAATTAATTAATGAAAAGAATAATAACTCATCATAATTCATACATTTATAGTTTTAAAATAAGTGTAACCTTGTTCATTATTTTCAGCAATACAGACCTCTGTAGCTAATACTTCATCCACTTTCGATTTGATCCAGGCTTCTCTTTCCACCATTTGTTTGTATGCTTCCTTAAACCATGTTTCAATACACCCATGTGTTTAGCTACTAATAATGGAATGTCTTCATAAAAATTGATAATCATAATAAACATTCAAAATAAACCAAAATAGTCAATTTATACATATGGACATTTGTCTTTAGTATTATTGTTAAATAAATAAATAAATAAAAGGTAAAATGAATGAACACCTCTTCTTTCATCTTTATTAATGTATTTTCCAATTGCTCAGCCTCTATTTTTTCTTCCAATTCTTTCTTCAATTTCAGACGTGCAACATCTCCTTCGTCTCTTACTGATTTAATCTAAAGTTGTGTTTACTTGTTTACTTACTTTAAGGAGATTGTTTCATGTGTATATTTACAACACATTGATGCAGAGGAAATCGTTCTTATTTTTATATATATTTTTCTCTTTTGAAATGAATGGTTGTGTATTACAACCTTCATTTTAATTTTGTGGTCTGAGGACATTTTGATAGCATCATTTCCAAAATCATTGCAAAAGGTCACATTGGCTCCTTCCTATCCAAAATAATATTTCATAATCAAATTATATGTGTATATATTTATGATATTGTTTGAAATCTCCATAAAAGTAATAAGGCCTTAATCAATCTAAACTCAAAATAATGTCTTGAATAATAAATAAAATATTATATATATATATATATATATATATATGAGATTGAGGAAATTAGTTGATGTGTACCATAAGTAATAAGGAAACAATTTCTTCATGATTATTACTACATGCCAAATGTAATGGAGTGTTTTTGTATTCTCCTATTGCATCTATATTTGCACCTCGGTGAATAAGTTCTTCAACAATATCTCCAAATCCTCTTGTACACTACCTAAATACAAATAAGAATGAATGTGTTGGACTTCAAATGTGTTGGACTTCAATTATGGTTTTAAGAAAATCTACATCAAGAAGAAGGAAAAACACTTTTTGTTCCAAAAGAATCATGTTTTCACATTAGGTTTTGATCAAACACAAATATTGATTAATTAGTATAAAAATGCAATAAAACCCAAAGTTGAATAATATAAGATTTAGTGGACAAGGTTCATACAGCCCAATGCAATGCTGTGTCTCCATACACATTAGCCAACTTTACATTGGCTCCAACATCCAACAATACTTGAGCAATCTCTTTGTACCCACCTTTAATTGCTTTCATCCTAAGTACATTTATCAAAATTCAAATATATATATAAAATATATATATATAAAATATATATATATATATATATATATATATATATATTCTCAACCCACATTCATAGAGAAACAACTTCTTTACTCTATATATATTTGTGTGTGTGTATATTCATTTTGTGGATTTGAAGAAATTGAGGATCCATTAAGTTAATAAAATGCAGAATGGATGCACAAGGTGGGATAAAAAAATGGTGATTACAAGGCAGAATCTCCATTTTGTGGGTCTTGTATATTGATGCCTTCTTTTCGATCCATGGCAAGTTGAACTTCAATCAAGCTTCCTTCATCAGCTGCTTCACACATGGTTTTGCCAATTATCTTCTCTGCAAATATATCTTCTTCTTTCTCATCCTACAATCGAGATTAAGAGCACAAATCAAACTTTGAAAAACATGTAAAATTAAAACAGCACGTTATGTCACTCCTCATCACAGTGACATGAATGCAAATGTTTGTTTGAGGTTTGGTTTTTACCATTGGTATTATTTTTCTGTCTTTCAGGATTTATGAGTATTGAGAAGAGAAAACTCAGATCATGATGCCTGGATAGACTGTGAATTTTGAATGTACCAAAAGAAATATATGTGTATATATATATATATATATATATATATGATTTTGTTGGAGTTGAGAAATTTAATGGAATAAATATTCATCCTTATTTTTAAACTCAAATAATGCAGAGTTATAAAATAAACCAAAGAAATTTTAAGTAGGGATATGAACATGAATAATGCATATGTGTATAAGTATGTGCATAAGTATGCATACGTACATTCACCCATGTATTTAGAATTATTCCGCTGGATTTTTAAGTATTTTGTATTTACAATTTTAATTCATCAAAATATCTTTTCTCTGGCTACAAGAATCTACCATAAAAACTCGGATTTGATAAAGCTAAAGAAATGTTTAATACCTTTTGTGAAAAAAGAAATATATCTTTATACGTAATTACTCAATATTTAATAGATATGTAAATTTTACTTTTAAAATATAAGACATATTCTTGTGGTCATATATATATATATATATATATATATATTATTTTTAAAAAATAATGAAAATATTAATAAAATTCTTTATTTTTTTCTTATGTACATAATTTTTTATTTAATTTTCCGTTTCTAAGAAAATTAAAAACGGAAAATTTCATTTACAAAATTTTGAGATTCTTTCAACAATGCATGTATCTACCATTTAATGAGGATGGATTATTGTTATGTTACCAACAACTACATACTTCATTCTTTATTTGATCATTTATGTAAGTAGATTGATTAAGTCACTATCGTCAAGAGAAATTCAATCAACTTATGGATTTTGAATTTATCATTTTTTAATGTATTGCGATTTGGGTTTTCTATTTTCTATTTTCTTTTTTTTGTTATGAAAGTTTTTAGAAAAATTAATATGTAATTTGATAGAGGCATAATTTATTATATGTAAAGTATTAAAGAGTAAAAACTTAAAGTAGAGTTTTTAATTTTACATGTGGATAATATAATTGGAATTAATTTACGTGACTGCCACGTAGGCGTAGTGGTTACTCAAGCTGGACCCTACTACCGCCCCTTTGAAATGGGCGAAGGACAGGCATGGACGGGTCTAGGTGCACAAGTGACGTGGCGAACCATATGTTCCCACCTTGGGAAGATGGGAACATCTGATTTCAAATATATCTGACCGTTGGAGTGACTATTTCTATTCAATGCCGACATTAGTTGTGTTGGTAACAGTGTTCCCGAAGATTCCAATATCGGCATTGGGGAACTTTAGTGTGATTCTATTATTATCATTTCATGAAACAAAATTTTAGAAACAAACAAAATATATATATATATATATACATATATATATATATATATATATATATATATTTTGCAAAAATAATGAATAGTATTATTAGGAACCAAGGAATGGGTAATAAATTATTCTAAATCATTGGTATTTTACACAAGCTTATAATTACTTTCATTGAAATGAAACCTATGCCTTTTCAATCTGATATTGATAAAATGATAAGAATAGTTTAATGAATTGATAATTGTTACAAATTTCTTCTTGGTAGATAAACTTACAGATTTTACCAAGCAACTTATGGGACAATAATCATCTTACTGCTCGACATAAATTGGTTGCTAAATTGCAACATCTGCGTGTGTGTATATACACATACAGTCAAATTCTAAGAACTTGAGTATTTTTAATTTAAGAACTAGAAATTATATCACAACCATTTGGACAAATTACTTTGTGATATTTTACTACTTGTAGAGTCAATATTTATATTCAGTATACTTAATCACTGCGAATGAATGTTCAAAATTACACTTTCTGCACTTTTCAGACGCTAAGGAGTGGCTGAGACCTGTCGATGAAAAGAATCGTATCAATAACATTGTTTTAAAATTTAACAAAACATGATGGAAAGTTCATTGAGCTTATCTCTTGAAACTGCACTAGAAATTAATCCAAAATTGGTTTGATTGCGAAAGTTACACCCAGATAATCAAGCACAAGGTGTTTCCAACACCAACGTCACCCAAGTAGAAAACTTCATATTTATTCCTCTTCTCAAGGTATACATCATTTCTTTCCAAAAAAATTAATTAGAATGAACGAGTAGGCATGTCGTCACACTTGAATAAAATTATTCTGCACTTCTGACAACTTGCTTAACACTTCAGGAACAGAGACCTAGACATTAGCTGCTTAAAGCACCTCTGCACGTAGCCAGACCAATGTACAACCCGCAATTCGACTAGAACGTTCGTCCATGCAGCGATATCTTCAAGCTGCGCAACAGCACAAATAATCTTCAAACTGAACCATGTGCGTGTGTGAACCATCTCCTGATGCAGAAATATGATAATGTCGCAGCTTTTAAGTATGTCAAACATCAACAAATCCAGTGGGAAACGGGAGGAAGTGGCACAAAGTCACGCCATAGACTTTACCTCCCTCCGTCAGCAAATGCCTGAGCCTAGATGAAATGAACGCTATTGTCTCCAGAGACAGGACTGTTATTGGAGACATTTAACATCTCTGAGGATGGAGGAGGTTTGATACAAGGTTGAGTATATTTGAGTGCCTCAACAGCGAAATCTGTCCACGACAAGGACTGGTCAACTCTCGGTTACTCCACATGCTCTAATTTAAGGATACACATCATGGAGCACTGGTGCAAACACCGGCATGCAACGGGAAACTAAAAACACTGTTTTAATAGCATGCACTGGTCCTCCTCAAAGAAGCCACCTGCATACCCACTCTGCCAATATCCTGCGAAACCCAGGCCAGATTATCCAGTTTGACCATCCTTCATCCTCCAAAATGCATCACACCCATCTTTCAAACCCTGGTCTTACAAGGACTCTCCACCTTCACCATGTTGTCGGGCAAGGTAGTTTTCCCTACGCTGCTTCTGCAAAATCAAATATCCCGAAAAACAATGTTCAAAAGCAAACGCCAGAGATGAAGACTTGAAACACCTTCAACAGGTCCATCATCCCCTCATACAAGCAGGATAGTACTCCTGATATTTACAACCATTGCAAATCAATCTTGAAAACACAAAATCAGGACAAATGATCTATGCTCAAACTGATCTGTAAATCTGTCATTGAGATTAGCGTGACCATGAATTCTTGACGGACATCTTCCAAAGCTCTAGACAATGTTGTCAAGATGCCTCACCAATGTCACTGGCATAACCAGAACTTCATAACATGTCCTTGCAGAATTGACTTACCCATTCATCAATTACAAGCCCCTCTACAACCATGGTTCCCTTGGGCATCATTTCTGCTGCAGGCCTCGTCCGAGCAGCTTCAGCAGCTTCAGCAGCTTCAGCTTCTGTTAGACGCTTTTGCAACCTGTCCAATTCCTCCTGTTCTCGAAAATATCACCAAGAGCTCATTCAGCTGAATGCATACGATTACATCGTATACGATGATCCCATCAAGAATAGTTCACAAGCTTAACTCTGAATACTGGAACTCCAAGTGAAGCTTCTGGATTTGATAGTTCCAAACACATCATGAGCTATTTAATTCCTCATCCTAGAGCAAAAAAATTGGTTTGACCACTGAGCTAGCTGCGTTGCCAAAAAAAGCCCTCTAGCCAGAATCAACGAGGTGCCACAAATTGCAAGATTGCTGTCATCAGATTAAACTTCTTGTTTTACGATAAGGTCTCATTCGGAAAACTGGAAAGTGTCTATTGTGAAATATATTCCGTCATCTTTCCCAACTCCATAAAACGAACTTGCAGGAAAGTTGAGTTAGGAGGAACTGACTGAAGATGCTTTTTGTGGATCAATGAAGACCACTTGAAGGATGCGTTCCACAGTAACCAACTCCCTTTGATCCTCAAACTGCAACATGTTACCACCATTACACAAATTAATTTCATTCCTGGATGAAAGATTCTTAGCAAGATAATCGTAACAGCTGTAAGTTCGTTTGAGGATTCGACACTGAGACCCTTCCCACATGCTCGGCACTCATGTCACATTTTTGTGATGAATAATTCTACAATGAAGCATATCGGGCGTATATCGATTCTACACCTCGTCCAGAACTAAGGTCTGCATAAGTTTCATTTGACCCGACCACTCAGTCTGGTGACTTTGAAATAAAAACTCACTAATTCCGGAGTGAAGTCCACCCCTGGCTCTACCGACAAGCTGACTATCTTGAACTTATCCTTGGTCTTTTTTCCTCGAGGATGTTCTCTCTCTGGCTGTTCCAAAAACTTCACGACTGCGACATACATTATAACCACATTAGCATCATGATATTTACGTCAAACTTGAACCAATACCGGCTATCCATTCCCATTTTTACAGGTGGCACAACCAAGAAATTAATCGAATCTCAAGATCGAGCACTGAACCTGTTGCAATGATGGTCGCATTCGGTGCAAGCACACCGCTAGGAGGACGCATGAAGCAGCTCTTTGGAGCCGTAGTTTGAAACTGAAACAAGAACCAAACACGCACGACTTAGCTTCTCAATCATAACTTACCATCTAAAATATTCGGAATTGCTGATGAATTCAATAATGATAAGAATGCGCCAGGCTACTTACCACCAGTGTTGGATTAAAGAACATTAGAAGCACATTTATGCCACGTTTGAGCTCCTGAGTGTGAAACGAAAAAGACTATCTAGTTCACTACTCTTTTACACGAGATATAATCTCTACCACCACCACAAGAAGTTCAATGAAGGGTGAGAATATCCTCTCACCTTAAATGCAACGTGATTGCGGCTAACATTCTTGATCTTGATTGCACTTGAGACTTGCTTGCCTGGTTCATCTGTTAACATTGGAAACTAAATGAATTGTTAAATGTGAGCCTAATCTCTCATCTCAACACGGAGTTTCCATTCCTAACAGTTTAGCTAGTTCACACACAGCAAGGAATAATAGGAGGCTTCATACATGCCGATTACACACTGGTATTGTAGCAAGTACAAACTTCCAAGAAATTTCCTACTTAATGGTAGAAAGGATATCATAGCTTAGATTGGCGAGGATGAATCTTGACTACAGATTTGGTTTTAATCAGTGTAGGTTGAGCTTTTTCAATGTCAGAAAAATGAGCTTAGGGGAATCAATGTTTTATACAAATTAAGTTCATGACGGAGTAGAAATAAGTAACAAGTGGGGATGTAACAAGTGAAGATTGACCTTCTCATGTACGAGGATATAAAAATAACATGCAGATAGTCGGTGTCTTTGGTGTTATGCTCTAAGTTTCCCGATTCCCTCCTATTAATTAAAATATTTTGCTGTCACGGCAACAGACGTCTGCCGGAAAATAATGTCGGAGAGGACCAGGCCTCTTCAACATGCAAATGTCGCTGTCACCTCCACTCATGAACTAATCAACAGGAGCTGTTCAAGAAAACTTTCAGCTGAGATGTCCCTTAGATATCCCTTCCATCTGGAGCTTAAGTGAGTAACGGAGAGTGTTGAACAAGAATTCGACAGAGAGACCATCGAGGTAAGTTTCAATGCATTCCGAAACGGGAAAAGGGCATATCCGAGCACTGTCTTCAAGCTTACATAAAAAGTGTAATTTCTTATCAGGATCAAGCCGTAGCCGTCTTCGGCTAATCTTAAACGCTCTTGCTATGGTTGACATTGAAGATGTGCTAGCTCTGGCAATTTCCTGGCTCTGGATGAAGGCACTCCGCTGTATTTCTGCTTGCTTTTGCTGCTCCCACGGCAACCTCAGCTTCCATGCTTGAGGCGACCGTTTCTTCTCCGGAGCCCCCATATTTTGAGGAGCCATGCTCATATTCCTCCAGCTCTAACCTACCTACCTTCAACTCAGCTTCAAGTCCCCTCACAGGAAACCCTGCCTCGGCAATCTCATTCCAGAAAACACTCCCTAACACGTCAACCTGTTCTACTCCTGCTGATTGCAGTATTCCATTTCCTGCCGCACACTACACCCGCTAGTCCGGATCATCCTCTAACCCTTTCTCCTCTCCAAGCTGCACTTAAGACGCCGCTCCCCTCCCATGCGCTCATCTTAACAGCGTCTAGATGGCAAAGGACAACAACCTCATCACCAATTACCATCACCTGAAAAACTGAGTGGCATACGAAAACTTCCGCTCCATTGTCTCACGAAACCATGCAGCGGCAATCATGCACCAAACTACCAGTAATCTAATGCTAATGACCACCACTGGTGATCATGATGACAATTGTAATGAACACTAAATGAGAGGGCTAGTTTCTCCGCCAGGGCTTTTCTAACGACACCTGCTGCTGCTGCTGCTGCAAGATAAGGCTTCACATGTCAACCATCATACGCATGGAGCCCAAACTTTCCGAGTGAATGCGAAGCTATGCAACGATGAACAGTGCACAGAATTGGAATTGGAAGCCGGATCCATGGCTATGGCGAGAGCCTGTGGTGGTCGTCCTTGTTGCTACAGTAAAAACAGTGGCTCAGGGCTCCAACCACCACTTCCACACCTCTCTCTCTCAACCCCCTACGAGCCTAGACCCGCACCCGGTGCTCTTCCGCCCGGGTCCCCACACAATCGCGGGCCGGGTTGGCTCACCTGCGGTCCACAACGACAGTGCCATGACTCATCCACGGCGCCAATTTTCCTGCACTTCATTAATTAATATTTCTTCATTTTATTTTCATGGAACCACATAATCATCAAAGTAAAAATATTTTTTATGAAAAATAAAAATAAAATTATCAGTTATATAATTAAGGATAAATGATACAATTTAGGCTATATATATATATATATATATATCTTATATAAAACAGCTTATAGAAATAAACCAACAAGATAAACAAGAGGATACAAAAACTATCTCTAATTGGTTGCATATCTCATTTTTTTCATCAAAAGTGAAGCAAGGGTTCAACTTTTGATCAATTAGAGATCAAAATTTACATGATGTTACTATAGAATAGCACTGCAAGATTACAATGGGTAGTTTATAATATTTTTTTGTGGCAATAGCATGTGTTTCCACTAGTGTGTATATATATGAGTGCATGGATATATGTCTATGCATATAGTGTTTTTACATTAAAAAAAAATTGTATAAAAAAACTATATTATTTATATATCCATACATGTATATGCATGTTTTTTTAAAATTTTTATGCCTATAAATATTCAATTTTGTATTAGTTTTAAAAAAATATGTCTATGATGTACTCTAGATGTAATATCTTTCTTTATATTTTATGTAAAGTTTTATAAGTATGCATTTGTAATATTGAATAATTTTTCTTTCATATTATATTTTTAATTGTGTACATTATTGTCCCCTATCTATTCTATTAATTTTCAAATATTAATTCTAGATTTTTTATAGATGCAAAAGGTTGCAATGAATAGATACAAATTTTCCTAAATCTTGTTAGAAGATTATTAAAACGTGAAATATATATATAATTGAAAAAAATCTAGCAAATTTCTTTTAATCACGTAATTTTTTAAAATAAGATCTCAAAGAAGCTCTAATCTGAATTTATTTAGTTATCAATGTTAGAAAAGCAACTAATGAATGTTTTAATTATCGTAAAGTAGATAAATATAATAAAAGATAATATCACATGATTTCATTATATTTTTAAGAGAATATTAAATTAATCCCAACTTTTATTAAATTAAATCACCTAACAAAACCATTATTATACCATCTCTTCTATGTCCTTGTTTTCAATTCCTCTTCTCTCTTCTTGATCCCCCTTCCTTTTTTGTATTCTCAATGCATGTCCTCTATTCTCATTGTCCCTCGTACTTATTTGTCATTCCCTCCACTTCTTATTCTCATCCTATGTTCTTTATATTCTCAATGCATGCCTTTGTTTTCAACTTCCTTTTATTTCAATTCTTTCCTCTTCTTTTTCAGTACTTGTTCCTTCTTCCCCTCCATCCTTCCTCCTTGTTTTTGTCTCCCATCCCGAAGAATTATTATTATCTCCTCGTCTGATCTATTCTTACTTTGCTAAAATAAATTTTTTTTAGACTATTGTGTGAGAAGGTTCCCTATTGATAATAATAATAACAAGTAATAAGACAATCGTAAAGAAGTAATTAAACTATCAATAAATTTTTTTCTTTCTTTTCAACTTGACTACTACATCTAACTCCAATTGCATTGAAAGCAAAACATCTGCCATACAAGAAGATGATAATGAGAAGAAACTATTTTAACATGATCTACTTACAAACATAACTACTAAATTTCTTTGTCATTCTTAATAAAAAAAAGGTTATTACTGCACTCTAATATGGAACAACAATACTCTTCAGAAGTATGTTGCTAATATTTTTTAACCCTCAATATCTTCTACAGATCTTATTTGCTTTTTCAAACTTGTAAATTCTTATAGAAAATTCCTAGAACTTATTGTTGAATGCTTGATCTTCCTTTTGAGCTCTACCAAGAACTATGAATCTATAAAATCTTTTCAAGTACACAAAAAAGATAATATTTTGTTATTCTACAAGTTCAATGGAAATAAATAAATATGATTGTATAATTTATCACTACAACATTGACCATAAAATTACTTCGACTGCCAATTGAAAGCATGCCTTTCAATTTCCATCTTCTCTTTATTTTGCCATTAGCTTTGAATATCCATGAAAAATCTAACAATAATAAAATCTTAATCTAAAAAATAATAGTCCAAAAATTAATATATGAATATTATAGTATATATATATATATATATATATTTGTATTTCAATTAAATTTGTATTTATATCATAATTATTTTTTATTAGAATCTAAATTATAATACTTAAGCATCTTAAAATAGAAAGTAAAAATCAAGTTGTTCTATATGATTTCAAAATAGTAAGGATAAGGACTAAAAGAAGATGTATAAAAAAGTAAAAAATGAATCAAAGAGAGAAGAAAAATTAAAAATAAGAAAGTAAATATATTCAATAAGAAGCTAGAATGGCTATTATCAAAGGCCAAAAACTAGATACTTTTAAAACTAGACTAAAACTAAGAAAAGAATTAGTAAGAATGAAGAAGGCTTCAATCTTGCCTCTATATATACTATCTATCTAAGAATTATGTAGGAATGTTTTATAGGACCTCTAATACATGTCTAATTTTTGAGATATGTGTCTTTACTTGCAAGTATCAAGGATATAAATCTCGGAGAAAGAAAATCCTTAAGACACTTGTGTATCACTAAAAAGAACTAGAAAGTCACTCAAAGATGATGTAATATTGAACTACAATAGCTATTGCCAAAAACAAGAAGACTAGAAAGTATTGGAACAAGACTAAGAACTAAAAAGATATTGACAAGAGTGAAGAATGCTTCACTCTTGCCTCCATATATATTCTTAACTAAGAGCTATGTGACAATGTCCTATACAACTTCCAAAACGTGTTGAATTTGTAAGACACGTATTTTAACTTGCAAGGCAAGTTTTTTATATGTGCATCATATAGTTAGCTTGTTCCGCAAGCTACTAGCACGTGGTTAACTTTTTGACCAAATTTCTAACTTATCAATCAACTACAAATATATGTAAAGTCAAACTCATCTATGAAGATTCTAGGAAGGTTCTCTAAAAGGTCTTATAAAGTTAACCTACTTTTATCTACTTTTATCTATTCCTATATAATTATATAAGTATTTACTAAAATATCTATATATGTCAGTGATATTACCTCTCCTTTCTAAGAATGAATTCCACGAGAAGCGATCTTCATATGTTGCGGAAATCCAAGATGCGATGAATTGTATTTGCCACATATTCTAATCTTTATTTTCTTTAAGGATGGTTGATAGGTCCTCTCAGCCATTGATAATATTCCATAACAAGAAAAAAAGACCACCTTGTTATTTCGTCATTGTTGAGGCCTTCGTAACTTCTTTCAAATAAAACATGTGGAATACCATCAGGAGTTGTTTCTACCTCTAATAAAATCACCAAACATAGGGAGTCTCTTCCAAGGTCATGATATCAAACATGTTGTATCTTGCCATCTATTCAAGGAAAGACATGTCATTCATGAGGATCTTCATCTCGATTTTGTCATCTTAAAGATTGTGACAATCACAATATCTTGTCTTGTAAGTCTATAAATGAAAGCTCTTGAGTTGAATCTACTGATTGTTGATTCTCCATCTCCTTAATTACACAGAAGCTACGAAGAAGGATAGAACATAGAGTGTAATCTTCTTTTGATCTTGTTTATTTTATAGCAAAGTTTTGTTATTCTTCATCTTAATTTTGATGGATGTTGTTGATAAAAAGCTTCAACTCTCTTTTTTGTATTTGCAAGATTCTTTGTTGGCTTCCATGTCCGTTCACTAATATCATATCCCCGCCAATAAACAAGATATTTCAACCTATTTTGGCACCTTGAATCTAAGACTTCTTTCACCTTGAATTCTTAATTTTTATCTACTTCAATAAGAGGAGGTGGCATTTGTCTTCTTTGCAAGATATTTAGTATCTTATACGGCTCAAGAATGGATACGTGAAATATAGGGTGGATCTTCATAGACATCGATAGATATAATCAATAAGCAATAAGATTGACTTATTTACAAATAGAAAAAGATCCCAACCTATGATAGTCGACATTATCAGAAGGATGAATAAACTTGATATTGCAATAAAGTAACCATACCTTAACACCTACATTGAATTGTAGTTGCTTCTTGCGATAGGCTTCTACATTGGTCTTTTTTCATTCTTGAGCTTCTTTTAATTGTATCTTCATTCTTGTATGACAAACAATTTGCTAAATCTTTTGCCGCAAAATTATCAACTTTTGAAAAGTCAAAATTATAAAGCTATGGATGATAATCATAATTGACAAAAAAAAGTGTTTGTTGAGTAGAAGAATGTACCAAATTATTGTATGCAAATTCTTCAAATGGCAAAAGAGTTGTCCAATCATCTTGATGATAGTTAATGGTACACCTCAAATATTGCTTCAAAACTTAATTCAACCCTTCTGTTTGCCTATTAATTTGAAGATGAAAATTTAGAGAAAGCTTTATATCCACCTTTAAAATCTTGAATAGGATTTTCCAAAATCTTAATACAAATTGAGTTCCCATATCTAATATAGTATCTTTTGATAATCCATAATAGTTATAGATATTTTCAACAAAAGCTTAGTTGTTTCTTTATCTGAAATAAATTTTGTAAATGGTACAAAATATGCCATTTTAATGAAGCAATCTATAATTACAAATATAGAATCATATAAACTTAAACTTGTAAGATCTATAATAAAATCCATGGAAATGGAAGACCATAGTTGTTTAAGTATAAGTAATAGTTGAAGAAGTCTATAGAATCAATGACAAGGAATTTTTAATCTTGAACAAATATCACATGACTAAACAAAGTCTTTTACTGCCTTTCACATTTACAGCCACCAAAAATCTCTGAATATAAGCTCTAAAGTCTTGTTGTATTTAAAATGTCCTACTACAAGAAAGTAGTGACGTGCTTCAAGAATACATAAACGTGCTTCATCTTCTGGAACATATATGCATCCTTTGAAATAAATTATGTTGTTCTTGAACTTGAACTTTGAAACATCATGAGGCTTAAAAGAAAGATTCTTGATATCATGAATAAGAAGATCAAAGGACATACTTGATTGAATTTGTTTGATAAAGATTGAATCAACAATCAATATTGATTTTATTGCTCAAAGATGAAAATACTCTAGCTTTAAGAGGATTGTTCTTTGTTGATCAAAAGATATGTCTCTTTCTTTTGGTGCAAGATAAGAGCATCTAGAAAGAACATTTAATAAATCTTCTTGTTTTCCAAGTCAATATGTGATCTTGATAATAACATGCTTCAACAGGCTTGGCAACAATTCAAAACACATGCCAAGTTGAAATACTTGAGGTTCTTGTGATCCATATATATTATGACTAGACTTGAAGCACCTTCTAGATAATGATGCCATTCCTAAAATAAATCTACAATTGCAAGAAATTCTTTGTTGTCGATCTCATAGTTAATCTCCGCTGCTAAAAATTTCTTGGAATAAAAAATTACTAAATAAAGTTTATTATTTGTTTCTATTTCTAATAATAGTATATCTAAGATAAAATTTAATGTATCTATTTCCATAAAGAATGCCATAGAAAAGTTAATTTCATACAAAGTTGATGCAAAAGTAAATTCTTTCTTCAAAATAATAAATGATGCTTCTGCTTCTTTATTCCACTAAAGTTTGTCTTCACAAGTCAAATGTATAAGTAGAGCTGTAACTTGAAAAAAGTTCTTGATAAAGATTTGATAATAATTCGCAAAGCTCAAAAAGTATTGGACATCTCTTATTATTCTTGAGGTCTTCTAATTTATGATAGTTTGGACCTTCTTTGGATCCATCACAAGGCCTTCATTAAAAATGATGTATCCCAAAAAGCCAACTTAAGTAGTGTAAAATTTACACTTTTTTATCTTTTCATATAATCTTATATTTTTTAGTTTTTATAACACATGACGAATATGAACTTCATGCTTTTTAGTATTCTTAGAATAGATTAAAATATTATCTAAATTATAGATGATAAAATCATTAAGAAACTCACAAAAGACATTATTCATTAGATGTTGAAAAGTAGTTGATGCATTCGAGAGTCCAAAAGGCATGACATTATATTCAAAATATCTATACCTAGTTCAGAAAGCAGTCTTCTATTCATTTCTTTTTTTTGACGTAGCCTAAGTAATATGTTCTTCATAGATCTATTTTTGTATAGATCTTTCTTTAATTTAATTGATCAAAAAGTTCTAAAATCAAAAGTAGAAGATATATATTCTTGATAGTCATCTTATTAAGTTTTCCATAATCCACACACATCCACAGACATCTATTTTTTTTCTTCACAAATAAGATAGGAATGTCAATTGAAGATTTAGAATAGCATATAAAATTCTTAGCCAAATTCTCATCAATGTATTTTTTGAGTGCAGCCAACTCATTTTGTGATAGGCTACAAATTGGTCTAAATGGTGCTTGAGTTCTTTCTTAAAGATTGATGGAACAATCATAAAGACGATGTATCAAAAAAATATCTATATTTTTTTTTTCAAAAATATCTTTAAAATTTTAATATTAACTAGGAATACTACTTGATATCTTCTCATTATCAGCAATAGGCTTGGCATATATAGCAAAAGATGGTCCTTCATGTATAATATGCATGAAAGCTCTCGTACCTACCAATAAGGATTTAGATGTATTAGACTTATGGATTTCTACTTGTTTAGTAGGACCTTGGACTAAACTATGGAAAAAATCAAGATTGCAAGAAATCCAATCAATTTGAGGATTATATCTTTTTAACTACAATAATTCTAAAATAATTGGATTAAAAGGAGATTTAATCACATTAAATATTACTAAACTATTGTGACCACTAGTTGCTACTTTTATAAGAATAGTTTTATATGTAACATCATCAGAAGAAAATGAACGTCCATCTATTACTTGTACATGCACATGTTTGATTTTCTTAATTAAAGATGTATCTTATTTTTTGACAAAGTCTTAATCTATAAAATAGATTGAGGCTCTAGAATCCAACAAAGCTAAGATTTTGTGATTTTTTGGTCTTAAACAAACTTCTATTGTAAAATAAGGTGAAGGATCTAAGAAGAAAATAGGACCTTTATTAGATATTGCACATGATTCCAACTGCATGATTCTTATTATAGTTGGAGTAACTCGTTTTTTGACACATTGTCTTCTTTGGCAATTGTGCTTTTTATTTTGTAATTGCATTTTCTCTTTGGATAATGTTGAGCAATATGCTTAGCTTCTCCACAATATAAGCATAAGCCCTCTTGACATCATTGACTTTTTTTTTGTTGTGTGAAGGATTTAAAATGTATTGTATCAATTTGCATTAGATTTGGCCTTAAAAAATAAGTTTTTGAAAACTTAGGAACTACCGTCATTATTTGATTTATTCTTCTCTAGCTATATCTTTGTTCTTGACATCTTTCAAATAATCAATTGTCACATGCAATGGCTTTAGTAATAAATTGTTTCAAAGATTCTATCTTTGATAATGTCAGTAACAAGTCTTTGACATTATCCTTCAACTCATATTAAAAGTAATTGATAAGGGCTTTGTCATCCTAGTCCACATCATAAGCAAGGTTTTGGAATTCAACAACATATATGGTAGCTAACCATGATCTTTGTCGTAAAGATAAGAGTTTGGTCTTTGCTACTCTTTCTTGATCATTTTCTCCAAATGTGGCCGTAAACACTTCTAAGAATGAATTAAAATCATAAAAGAATTACAAATATTTTTCCATTAAAAGTACAAATCAAGAAAGAGCATTTCTTGATAGAAGTGCACCTATGAATTTGACTCGAGTAAATCCATCCAAGTATTGGAAATGGTGCAACTTTAGATAGAGTTTGACTTGTTGTAAAAATTCTTGAAATTTTGATTTTGTTCCATTAAACTTCTCAAGCCTACTAATCCTTATCCATATCATGCTTGTAGAAGCAAAACTCTATAGATTTGGTTGTGAGGTCGATCTACTTGTTTCCTTCAACTGCACAACTTCTTATTATAGACTCTGAACTTCTTCTATAGACATAGGCATAATACCTCCAAGATTGACATTGAAAATACATGAGATTTTTACTCTTAGAGTGTTGACAAGCTCATGAAGATCTATAATAGTTGCAAATCTATTCTCACTTCTATTGAGAATAGCATCCATAATTTTTTCTTTTATAGACAACTCAAATAAATTTAAAAAATTAAATTAAATGAAGGTAATCTGCAACCTTTAATAAAAAAATTCTACAAACAAGAATAATCCACTTTTTTTTAGAAAAAAATCACCATTAGAAAATAAGATTTTTTATTTAAATGTAGATAGTCCATAATCTTTAAAACACAAGAATAGAAGTAGGATAATCCACTCATCTCTAAAACAAGACAAAAACAATAAGTTGGTACTCTTGTCAAACTATCAAGGAAATGAATTTTGATGAAGAAAAATCCTTAATATACTCATATATCATTGAAAAGAACTAAAAAGTCACTCAAAGATGATGTAATGTTAAATTACAATGGCTATTGCCAAAAACAAGAGGACTAGAAAGTCTTAGAACAAGACTAAGGACTAAAAAAGCATTGATAAGAGTGATGAAGGCTTCACTCTTGCTTCCATATGTTCTCTTAACTAAGAGCTATATAGCAATGTCCTATAAGACCTCCAAAATGCGTTGACTTTGCAAGAGACGTAACTTAACTTACAAAGCAAGTTTTTTATATGTGCATCACATAGATAGCTTATTCTACAAGCTATGAACATGTGGTTAACTTATTGACCAAGTTTCTAATCTATCAATCAACTACAAATACATGTAAAATCAAAAAGCATCTTTGAAGCTTCTAGGAAGATTTTCTAAAAGGTCTTATGAAATTAATCTACTTTTATCTACTTTGACCTACTCCTACCTAATCATATAAATATTTACTAAAATACCTATGTATGTCCGTCATAGCAAGGCAAGTTTCCTATAATTGCGCCATACTGTTAGCTTGTACTATAAGCTACTAATATATGTAACACATAGATGACATTTTTGCCAAGTTTCTAACCTACTAATCACCTATAGATTTATACAAAGATGAAACCACATCTATGAAGCTTTAAAAAGCTATTCTACAAGATATTATCAAATTAATATACTTTTATCTACTTCTATCTATTTATATTATCTAAATAATTATAGGTGTGTCTATGATATAAAGATGTATCACAAGAGTACCAATAACCAAAGCCACAATGACATAATATATCTTTAGTTCTATTTTCTTACATGTCTAATCAATCATTTAGAAAGAACTTTCCAATACAACAAGCATTGTCAAAAGAGAGAAGATTCTAATCATGTCTAAGAATATGTTTGTGTCAATTTGTATGGTTGTCGTTGTCTTAGATGCAATGAAAAGTAGAGCTTCTAAAATTATATTTAGATCCAATCCAAACTAACTTATTAATCACTTTGACAAGATCCTACCTTGAGCATGAACTTCTTCTATGCTTGGTTGCTATCTTTAGAATGTAGGAAAGAAAGTTGATAATATGACAATGTTGGAGCCCACAAACTTTGATAAACATTGGTTGTAATGCATTAACCAGGTTTGCATTAACCAAGCCCACAGTACACCCGCAACTCACAGATGGTGCGGTCAGCGGATATAGGTGTTATCGGGATCACGCGGGTATACATCCCGATCAGGATATGCCCGGTTCTCAACCGACGCAAGGATCACCTTATCTCAATTCGAGGACCTCCGCCCGTGAGGCACTTCGTCATGGGGATGTTTGCAACGAGTTTGTGAGGCCAGTTCGATTCCATTTCGCAATTGCAACTCCACCGTCGTCGCCATGGTGTCGCTCTCCACCGTCATTACGGGCCTCTCCATCTCCTCCAGCTCTGCCTCGTTCGTTTTCTCGGGCGAGTCTCGAATCCCCACCCATGCGGACTCTTCCGTCTCGTCGCAGAACCCTGCGGGGTTGGTCATTGAGGCTGCGCACAAAAAAGGGTCGGGGAGTACCAAGAATGGCCGTGACTCCAATCCTAAGATGCTCGGTGTGAAGATTTACGGAGACCAAGTTGCGCAGCCAGGAGCTATTATCGTACGCCAGCGAGGGACTAAGGTGAGAATGGGCCATGACAGTGACAGTGCTGGCAGAGATTTCAATGACGGTAGCATCTCGGTAGTGTTTTTTTTCCGTAGCTGGTGAGTATGCACAATAGAGTAGGAATTGATGTGCTGATTTTCGTAATGGTCGTGCGCAGTTTCACCCTGGTAAGAATGTTGGAATTGGGAGGGACTACACTATCTACTCGTTGATTGATGGGCTTGTCAAATTTGAGAAGTTTGGGCCTGACAGGAAGAAGGTACGTGACTCACTAGCTCAAATTCGTTGTCTAAGCGTGCTCGCTTGCAATTTTGAATCGACTGCTGACTCTCCTGAGATAGAATTCAATGTAATGGACATGAATGACATTTTGCACATTGCGGAATCTCATCGTTTAGGCTTGAATTCCCTCGGTCGCACTGCTATGACTTATGCTCTGTTTGTAGTGTTCCTAGACTTCAGCCGAACCCTCATCCTACTGAAATTTTAAACTGCTCTTGCAACATTGTTCGAATGTGAGTGGACTTAGCAGTTGGGTGTCATATGCAGATTAGCGTGTACCCTGCTGAAGCGAAGGTGGAGAACCCTAACAGCAGGCGAGTGAGGATGCGAGAATTTTTCAGGGAACGTCGTGAGCGTCGTAGGGCTTACCAAGAAGGCTCAGAAGTATTCGAACCGAGCCTTGCAATGGCTTCAGCGGACAGCGTTGACGAATCTGATGAAAAAGCACTCTGTTAGTTTGAATGGATGCTAGTGTTTTGAGCAGCTGCTATGGCCTCGTCGTCCTGCACCTCCTCAAGTGCACAATTCTTTCTTTTACAGATTTAGATTCCTGTGTTGGACCTTACATTAGTCGACAGCCCCGATCAGTATCCTTGAAGGTAGTATTTAGGTCTGTAGGAAATCCCTAGTAAGGTGAACCTAATGTTTGATTTTTTTTGGTCCTACCTTCAATGACAATATTCCTGATTTCTGTGGACGAGATTGTTCTCACAGGTCTGAAAGTTTCCTTTAGGTCATGAAACTTGGAATCGTAAATGAGTTTTGAAGCGAATGTTATGCCCAGCGTGCTGACTATGTGCTTGAAGGAACGTTGTCACAGTTCCCTCATGAGATGTGGCAATTTCTGCATCTAACCTATTGAGCCTCGGAATGAATTTCCCCATCATGTACCAGTTAATTGTCATTTTCCGTGGCGTGATATCCTGAAGTGAACGATAATAAAAAAAAATGTGGAAGTGAACCAATCTGACATAGATGATTAAATTATGGCGGACGAATAAAATGTGTAGACTGGTAGATCAATACTTCGACCATTCACTGAAATTACATCTATTTAATATGGCCCCTCAGTGTGTATACATAGCGTCTCGATGACTTGTGGAATTCGACAGTTTTACGCTGATATCAAAGACCATATTTAGTTGCTATCAGCACCTCCAGTTGCTCGTAAATACGTTAGTTTCGGAATGTAACGTCAGAAACTACATCTTGCACATTCTGTGAAAAGTTGCGAAAATTTTAGAAAATTAGCATTCGCACAAAATCTTAACAAACCGACCTGAATGAGTTGAGAAGTGCCTCTCAGAATGGACCTTCGTTTCTCTATGTAGCGGATAGTTTTTCAAATAAATGTGACTGTTACATTCGGTACATCACTTTCAAAACAAAACACACACAATCTGCAGAACTCTGAACATTACGGCATTGTGAAGTGTAGTAAACGAAAAGGCTTCGTAGCTCACTCCTTCCTGACAAAGGAAGCAGTGTTCCAGACGCAGCAAGCAGAAATTGTGGACACTTCAGATCATAACTATAATCATCCACAAACCAAATATTTCATATTGCCGAACCGTGCAGTGCGGTGATCATATTGAATTGCGACAGAACTCTGCCTCTGCTACAGGGGTACAAAAGGGTTGTGAATCTAGTCGAAGAGAGAGAATCCCATATCGTCATCGCTCTCTTCCTTTTCCTCCACCTTCTCTTCCTTCTTTTCCTCAGCAGCTGGTGCAGCAGCACCGCCCGAGGCAGCAGGGGCGGATCCTGCGGAAAAGCCACCGCCGCCTCCTCCACCTATAACAACCTAAAAAAACACGGCCACAAGAGGTGATAGTAGGGTGAGACTGACATGCAATGCTTGGAGGTGAAAGCATTCCGAGTGCAAATAATTATACCAAGCCACAGGTGGGTGTGAAAGGGTCGTTCATAAGAGAACATCGAAATGCACTGCCGCTAAAACCCCCAACCCTACAGGTGGTGCTAATGATCGAGATTCAAGGGGAAGGACGTTATCAAAAGTAAATCACGTTTGTCTCAGTATTTTGAGCCTACCCCGGCAACCACCTCCAATCGAGGGGGGGGGGGAGAGAGAGAGAGAGAGAGAGAGAGAGAGAGAGAAACGATGATAAACCCTAGAAACAAACACTTAAGCTTTCCGAAACGTTCAAACATAACAAATCACTCAATCCCCCGCACACACACACAAAATCAGAAGGATTTACCTGGGCAACACCAGAGTCGGGAGTAATCAGGGAGAAAGAAGATGAGATGGCGCCTGATCCAGCGGTCGTCAAGGCCAAGTTAGAGAGCTTGCGCTGGAGCTCCCAGGTGGAAGCAGAGCTGGCCTCAAGGTTGGCCTCGCCGCCGTGCTGCTTGGCGGTCCATGAGTCGCCTGATTTCTTAACGATGAAGGTGAAGACGGCCATGGTTGCTACTCGGTTTCCGGCCCTTGCACAGGCGATGGACGGGACTCTTGCCAAGGTTCACGCAATCACCCAAAGCTCGAAGAAGGAGCAATTTAGGGTGAAATTTGGAACCTTAAAGGGTGATTCGTCTAGGGCTTCCAGCGAGAGAGACGCCGCTCGCGGCCGATAGATATCCGGAACGGCTCCAGTAACCGGACACATATCCGGAAAAATCCCATTTTTGTCTTCCGGGTATTTTCATTCTCTCTTCTGCTTTCCGGTCATTCTGAGTCCTGCGACATTGACGAGGAAATGTGTTTCTGCGATGAATTTGAATCACAGCGACCTACGAGTTCGGTTCTGTTGGCAGGCTTTTAGAAGCACGAATCTTCCAGCTGCCGTTGAGCCTTCGGCAATCCCTTTGGGGCAGAGAGCGGGAATGCCTTCGAGTGATTTGCGATATTCATGAGAAGTAGTTTTTCGTTGTATCACTTCCACCCACAAGGTGACATGCGAGATGTTGCTTGTGATAGGGAAATAAATATACAAATGAATAAATTTTCTACCGGGAAAGTCAACTACGATTCTTGTTACGAAGTGAGAACTTGTGGACAGAGTTGCTGTTACGATGTGCAAATTTTTTGACTGGAATCGCCCCATTATTAGCAACAGTGTGAAGCTCAAGTTACAAAAAGGACTTGACATCGTTAATTGTACATGAAGTTCGGATTGTTCGAGCTTGGTCGATTGCCCTCCTTCCATTGACACAAATCAGCGAATGAACATATCCTGCATGGCGCTTACGAAGCTCAACCTGGCGGTGTTTGTGGCAATCAATGTGAGATCAGTGGGAGAGGAGAGTGGTTGTGTTTGTTTTATTATATGATCATTAGATCAGATCAACACGACGTTTCATATAATAAATATTCAACTTTATGACTACCATACTAAAAGAATAGAACAGGGAATTAACAGAAATAAAAAAGTAGAATTGAAACACACCATGAACACAACTTGAGTTTGAAAAATGTATTTTCAATTATCAATGATACGACTAATTTCAATGTCAGAAAAAACACATAATCTATCTTTTGTCAGTAATTAAAAATATTGAAAAATGAAAATACCAAAAATAACTCTAGACTGAATTGTGTGATTCTATTTTAACTATAACACATAACATAATTGCTTTTAAGAATTTAAGTTTGTTAAGTTATGACAACTAAAATTTTAAACGTTATTATTATCAATTTATATATATATATATATATATATATATATGTATTTTTTGTACATTTATATACATTTTTTTCTTTGTATTTTCATTTAGTGATATGTTAAATATTAATATTTGACTTTGATGTTAATTTCAAAAAACAATTTGAAAAACTGCAAAATAGATATTTTCACAGAATTTCTTAATAACTCATACAGATTTTGATGTGATATAACCTCAATAAATAAATAATATCCTTTGACATGATATATAGAGGAGTTATATTTCAAACAGTTTATCTTTGCATTAGGCTAGACCAAGATTGTTATAGTTTCGTCATTAGCTAAAAATAGGTATATTTTAATGATTCTTATATAGAAGAATAATTTATTTTGGTATGGTTTTAAACTTTTTTCTTTTTTCTTTTTTCTTTTTTAATATGACAATGCAACCCTAGATTTAAATGTCCAAAAATGAAGTCCTCTATTTACACATGTGCTGAGAGTTGGGACAAAAACCTTTTGTTATGTTTGCATTTCTAAGAAAGATGTCAATCAACTATTTGTTTGTGACATATAATTGTTCAAATTTAAGCATTTAAAAAAAAATCTAGGATGGGACATTTCATCACATATAATTATGCAGAAATTTGTTTTAGCCTTCTCATGCATGGTTGGAACCTGACAAGAAAAATTTGTATTTCTTGTTAGGTCTGAGTTTTCAATTACTTTGTAAAACGAACACTAACATTTCACAGTATATTAAAAATATAAAAAAATATAAAATCTCATTATTTAAAAGAAAAAAGCAAAAAACAGTAAGCACTACACATGTATGTTTTGAAAAAGAATCATGTCTGTAGTCTTTCATCTACACACCAATGACCACATTGAATGAACAAACAAATAGATTGAAGATGCATGGTAAACACATATGCATATGTGCACTAAATAAGTTTACAATCATATTATTGAAAATCTATTGAAAACTAGTAGAAATCAATGCCATTGGCCATAAAAAGATATAAAATTTTAGTTTATAAAAACACCATTGATTTCCTAAATTTATGCCTCAATAAAAAAAATCTTTAGATATTTGCAGCCATTTTACAACTTAATGTTTATATCAATAATAATACCATCATAATTAAAATAGTAAAGGATATAATTTCTCTAATAATTTTAAATATTTTAATGACATTCACTTAATATGTTTAATTTGTGTATCTATCAAATCAATACACAACTACTACAATTAAAAAATTCATCAACATAACCAAAATCAACTTTAATTATATTAGTAGATAAAACATAATTCATTATTTTGTAGGGATTTAAAATATTTTCAATCTTTTTTTGAAATATCCTATTAATTACATCTACAACATTGTAAAATTGAACAAAAACATAAATATATTAATCTTGGATTTTACATATCATTTGCGGAAGATTAGTATATGAATAAAGTTAAAATCAACAAAATAATTGTATTCATTATCTAACAAAACCAGCTCATAGAGGCGGAAGACCTAAATAATTGGAAAGAGAGAAGAAATTTGATAATGCCATACTCAAATGTCTATTGTTTCTCCTTCCACATTTTCTCTTTTCTATCCTCCTCTTCTTCCAAGGTGAAGTTGTTCTTAATATTAAATATCTTTTATATCTCTTCTAATATCTTCTCCTTTATTATGTGTTACAAATATACAAATTTATTCTAATATTTTCCTATATGATTAAGTAGAAGTAAATAAAAGTAGATTTATTTCATAATATTTTTTAGAAAAGCTTCTTAGAAGCTATATAAACATTGCTTTTACTTTACATGTCTTTGTAGTTGATTGATAGGAAAGAAACTTGGTCAATGAATTAACCACATATTGATAACTTGTAAATCAAGTTAACTATGTAGCGTACATACAAAAAACTTGCCTTGCAAGTTAAGATACATGTCTTATAAAGTCAACAAGTTTTGGAGATCCTATATGATATCACTGCATAGCTCCTACTTAAAAATATATATGGAGGTAAGAGTGAAGCCTTTTTCACTCTTATGAATGCCTTTCTAATCCTTAGTCTTGTTTCAAGTCTTTTTAGTCTTCTTGTCTTTAACAATAGCTATTCTAATTTAATATTGTATCATCTTTAAGTAATTTTTTAGTCTTTTCAAGTGATACAAGAGTATATTGACATTTTAATTCTTTAAGGTTCATGTCTTTGATATTATTTTTGCTATAGTTTGACACATCAACTCCAATTGCTTGTAATTTGAATGCCACTACTTTGTCTACTTCAAACATCTTGTCATTTGAACTTCTTAATTTCATGTATTGCTTTGTCATTGCTACAAACTATCCTGCCAAGATCCTTGCAAATATTCTACTACAATGTCATTTGAATACTTGTTCTTAGATATATACATTTACTTCAATAATTACTTATATGATTAGGTAGAAGTAGATAAATATAGATTAATTTCATAAAGTCTTTTAGTCAAGCTTCCTTGAAGCTTCATAGATATAGTTTTGACTTTAGATATGTTTGTAGGTCAGAAACTTGGCCAACAAGATAATCACATGTTAGTAGCTTGTGGAACAAGTTAATTCCATATAATAGCTTGTGGAACAAGTTAATCATGTGGTACATACACAGATAACTTGTCTTGTAAGTTAAGACATGTGACTAGCAAAGTCAACATATTTTGGAGGTCTTATAGGACATTGCCACATAGTTCCTAGTTAAGAGTATATATGGAGGCAAGAGTGAAGCCTTCTTCACTCTTATTAACACTATTCTAGTCTTTAGTCTTGTTTCAAGACTTTCTAGTCTTCTTATTTTTGGTAATAGTCATTGTAGTTAATATTACATTACCTTTTGGGTGACTATCCAGTTCTCTTCAGTGACACAAGAGTGTATTAAGGATTTTCTTTTTTTGACATTCATATCCCTAATAGTTTTGATAAGAGTGTTAATATATTATTTTTGTCTTGCTTTAGAAGAAAGATTATGGATGCTATACCTAACATAAGTGAGAATAGATTTACAACTATTAGAGATCTTCATGAGCTCGTCAACACTCTTAGAGTAGAAATCTTATGTATTTCTAATGTGAATAATGGAGGTACTATGCTTACATCTACAAAAAAAATTCAAAGTCTGCGACAAGAAGTTGTACAATTGATAGAAGTAAGTAGATTGACCTCTCAACCAAATCCAAGGAGTTTTGATTCTATAAGTATGATAGGAATAAGAATTAGTATGCTTGAGAAGTTTGATGGAACAAGATCAAAATTTCAAGGATTTTTGCAACAAGTCAAGTTCTATCTAAGGTTGCACCTTTTTCAATATCCTAATGGATTTACTCAAGTTGGATTCATAGACGTACTTCTATCAAGAAGTGCTCTTTTTTGGTTTGCACCTTTATTGAAAAAAGATTTGTGATTCCTCTATGATTTGAATTCATTCCTAGAAGTATTTACGATGACATTCAGAGAAAGTGATCAAGAACAAGTAGTAGAGACCAAATTCTTATCTTTACGACAAGGATTACGATCAGCCACTATATATGGTGCTGAATTCCAAAACCTTACTTACGATGTGGATTGGAATGACAAAGCACTCATTAATCAATTTTAAAATGGATTAAAGGATAGTGTCAAAGATTTGTTATTAATAATACCAAAAACAAAATCTTTAGAATAATTTATTACTTAAGCCATTATATGTGACAATCGATTATTTGAAAGGCATCAAGAACAAAGACTTGGCTGAAGAAGAATAAGTCAAGTATTCTCGGCAGCTTCCAAGTTTTTTGAAACATATTCATTAAGGTTGGAACTAATGCAAATTGATACAATATGTTTTAAAACTCTCATAGAATATGAAAAGACTTGACGTTGCCAAGA